CAGGTTGATTCCTAGTTTGATTATTAAAGAGTTGCAACTAAGTTATGAACTTAGCAGGACACTGACCTGTTGAAAATAAAAGTGCTTGTTGGTGCACAAACTTTGTATTAAAGTCGATACAAAATAGTGGCGTTTGTGTACAGCAAAGTTGTGTTAATTATCCACTAACCTCTGCACATATATGAGTATACATGACAAAACCCATTACCAGCAGATAACACTGGTTTGATATGGAAGAAAATATGACTGATGTCAAGAAGTCCAGTGAAGGATTTGGGTAAAATATCTGATTGTGATTTTACAGTCAGCTAGTGTGACTCCAATTTGACTTAAAATCTAATTTTCTTGAGTCAAGTCCCAGTTTTACATTCACTGTGTAACCAGCTAACGTGCTAGATGCACCACATCACAGCTAAACTAAATGGCAGGTTTGCTAATTGGATTGTTTCAGGTCACGATTTTAATTGAAAATCACTTCATTGTTCCTTTGATAATGTAGCTCTAACATACAGTAAATAAGTGTCTATAGAGAATGTCAGCTGATATACTGATAGCAAAATTTTTTACTCCTTAAAAATCGATATCAGCCCCATAAATCCAGCATCAGTCAGGCTCCAAACTCTTGTTCATGTCACATGCCATGTTTTGGTATCAGAGTCAGTATTTTTCACAGTAAAAACTCTTCAGTGGAAGATCAACATGTCCCACCTGTCCAAAGACAACTTGAGTTTTGCCTACTGTCCCCTTCCCTCCATCTTACCAGGCCATGGTGCTCCTCCCTGCAGCAGAGGCTCCTTTCTGGCCACAGATCCCTGAGATCTTGTGGTCTGACCTGTTGTTTGGCTGCACAGTGAGTTTAAAGCCACATCACTGAAGCTCCTGAACAAACCCGCTGCTCTGCTTCCAGGTGGCCCCGTGGGCTTCAGTTCTGTCCGAGCACCGCACAGGACCAGCGTTTGAGTCCCCCCGAGTCTAGAGGAACAACTGGAGGTGAAAAGGCGCTTTGGAAAAAAGTTCCCAACAAAAGGCTTGAACTTGGTGGATTGGACGGAGGCAGCCAGCAGCAGCCTGGCCTCCACACACAGCGACATGCTGACGGCTGGGGTTCACCACAGCAGACAGCCGTCTTGCAGCAGGTAGTGAAGGCGAGCCTCAGCCTCCAAACGTGTGTCAACTCCCTGAATCATGTCCTCAATGTTCCCTCCAGCTGTTTGTTCAAGAGACGAGACGGTCCAGATCCGCAGGAACAACCAGAAGAAAAGTTAGAAGCAAACAGGAGTTAAGTTAGCCTCCAGCTCGGCTAATGTCACCTGTCAGTGCAACTTTTCCTCTGCAGCTCTGCTTGTTATGCTAACCGCGTTAGCTGCTGCTCTGAGCCACATTTTCTGTTTTTAGTAATGATTTATTAATTATAAACAAAGAGACACAAACCTGCCGCTGACTACAAACTGTCCTGAACCAACACAAACCTGTTTCAGCCTGAAAACAGTCCGTGTTAGCATGATGGAGCGGCTAGCATACAGGAGGGCAGAGGCAAGAGCACCGGCCCATGATGCACCGCGGCCAGAGGTCGTCTCTGCTGAAGGCATCCACTCCGAGTCAAGGAACGACAATAAGGAAACACTGAAGATGAACGTTTTGAATCAAATATTTACCTGTTACCACCAGGGAGGGGAGAACAAAAACACACAAAAAAACCCCAGAAAAGTATGCATGAAAGTAAACCCATAGTGGAGAAGTTTGTATTATTAGAGCAGCAAAAAGGAAAATTTAAGAAATATCAGTAAAAACATGTACACAAGTACCAGTTCACTAGTTTGAATTATGAGTCACACTTTTGTAATACTAGTCAAAAGTTTGAACCCAAAACTGAATTGTGATTTATTTATGCGTCTGTACATAAAAGGTGGACGGGACTGAAATACAGCCAAAAAAACTGATGTTATTGAAATGAAACATTGGTCATTATCTGTAATTGATGAGTGTTGATTAAGGATTTGATCATTTCAGCCAGGTAATTTGGCAGCCTGTTAAACGTTTGTAAATCTATCAATAATAATTGTGCTCATGACAACATTTTGATTTATTTATTTTTGGTCAAAATGGGCTTCCATAGTCTTAAAAATAGTTGTAGATTTTGGTTTATTTATTTCAAATTAATATTTTATTAAAATAGAGAATTTCACTGATAATCACACAGAAAATATAAAGGTACTCTAAACTGACTGTTTGATAAGTTTGTCATTAGACTTTTTGCACATTTAAAGCTCAATCAACCATTTAAAAAAATAACTGAAACCATTAGTTAGTTAACAATTGATTAATGGTTAATTTCTAACTGATTATTTAACTAGTCGTTTGGCAGGTTAGTTAGCAAGTTTGCAAACTGTTCACTAAACTCTTTTAACCAATTTAATTTTTTCCTCATCCTTGATTTTTTCAAATATTTCTTGGCATGAAGGAGTTTCCATATTATTTATTATTCAGTTAACAATTGATTAACTGGCAAAAGAATTGATTAGTAATGTAATTATATCAGCTTGATCATTTTGGACCTTGCAAATGTCCGTCCATATTAGTTTTGCTCATGACTATTTTTTTCTTGCTCAAAATGGGCTTCCGTAGATTTAGATAGAAAGCCTCGAGCATTTTATTTTATTTATTTACGCACGCTTTTATCTAAATAGAGTCTAAACCAAGTTAACTGTTTCAGAGCTTTGTCTCTGTTTAATAGCCACAGCTGACAACCTTATAATTACAGCAGAATAACATTTTGAAAACGTGTGAGAACGGTGTTTGGAGTTTTGTGGTAACCGGAAGTGTGTGTGTTTGTAAGTGTGGGCTGGAGGAGCTGATTGGAGGAACACGGTGGGAGGACCAGCAGCATCAGCAGCATCAGCATCCCTCCGCTGGATGCAGAGGACCGACAGGATGCTGCGGATTGTGTTGGACGCTTTGTAGGATTATCTGCAGCTCTGATCCTAAACCATCCTCTGCTTTTATTTTGCCGCTGACACCCTGCATCAGTAGCCGCCATGTTTCCATCGTGTTACTCCAAACAGGCGGAGGGCGGCGGGAAGCGCAGCTCCGTGGCCAAGCTGCTGCTCGGCGTGTTCGTGGTTTATTCGCTGCACACCGGCTGGCTGCTGTACGGTTTCCTCAACACCAAACCCTGCGACGGAGGCCGAGGAGAGAACTGCATCAGCTCGTACCTGGCAGCCAGACCCAGACTGCAGGTCAGGCCTCTTTCATACAGCTTCTGTCAGATCCATGAAAACTGTATTTAAATCTGCGTTTTCATCACCGATCTGTCAGTAAACTGCTCATCATGAAGCCCCGCATAAAGAGTCTCCGTGGCAGTTTAGGGAAAATGCTGAATTTTTGTAGTTTCTGCTCATTTTTTCCAGTCTTGGACAGAATCTGATGCAAATGTTTTTCATTCTTTATTTTTGCAAATCTTTGAATGTAGAATGAGTGACTAATGAAATGCCGCATTTTCCAGCTCAGAGTTGGTTATTTTGTCCAACAAAACCACACATTACACATGCTCACGTGTGATGGCGTTCACAGACTTTCTAAAAAGTAATTTAAGGCAACTTTTCCCACCATTTATTAAAATGCATCGTTGCAGGATTAAATTTTGCTGATTCGGAGCAAACCTTTAGTTGTCAACATTATTTGAATGTGTTTATACTTTGTTGCTTTTGTTGGACAAAATCAGGCTTTTAAATGTGTCACCGTGGACGTTATGGCACTGTGGGTGAACAGCACACCTAAAAAGTCAATTTATTAAGACAAAGATAAGCAGTGAACCTAAACCTTTGGGATGATTCTAGGAAATTTGATTGGAAATTGGTTTTTAAAAGTTGATAAATCGAGTAATAGCTAAACAACACCTGACAATACAGAGAGATAACAAGACTGTTGGTCTGCTTCTGTGAATGTATCAGTCTGTGGTTCAGACTATTCACATATGAGCTTTGTTATAATAGTGCACTGTAATCACAGTAGAAATATGGATGATTACTTATTTATCTATTTATTGTTTTTACCGTATACTGAATGTGCTCCTTAAAAGACAAGTTGTCGTCAATTAAAAGTCCTAGATATTTAAAAGTGGATACCAACCCAATTTGTTGACCATGTCTTGTTAAAATTTTTCCAGACAGTGCTGATTTCACAGTTTTTGAAGTAGTAAAAAACATACATTTTGTTTTGTCTGCATTTAAAACAAGTTGCAGATGACAAAATTGTTCCTGTACTCTATCAAACACAAGTTGTAAATACTGAAAGGCCTCAGCAGGAATCAGTGCTGCACAATATATGACAGTGTCATCAGCGTAGAAATGAAAAGTTGAGTTTGGAATATTCTGTCCAAGATTATTTATGTAAACAGTGAATAATAATGGGCCCAGCACAGTATTATTCACTATTTACATAAATAATCTACATAACATTAGTGTCCACTTCAGTGAGATCTGCTAGCAGGTGGTTCGTTTTAATCATGAAACACTTTTGGATCATATTCAGGGTTTTTCTCTTCCCTACAGCAGCATCACATTTAAAAAAAAAACAAAAACTCTGCTCTAAATGTTTTTCCTCCTCCAGATGAGCGTCTTCACCTGCCTGCTCCCTGATAACAGCCCGCTGCAGCTCGCCGTCGCCGTAGACCCGTTTGACCCTCATTCTGCCTTCCAGAGGTGATGCATCTGTTTACTGCGCCCACTTCAATCAGAGCAGGTTCACTGCCCGCTTTGGAAACAACGTCCACATCGTGAAAGGTTTCATCAGAAGCAGCAGCATGGCTGTTATATAAAAAGATCATTAGTCATAATAGATAATTAGGTCAGTGTTCATGATTCGGATCCACAGTGGAGATTAAAAATAACAGACGAGGTCCTGAGTTTGTAGAATTTGCTGCATCAAAGACAAGAATGTTCTACCACAAACAGCAGGCTGTCTGTTTGATTTTTTTTCATTTACTCCTACTTTTTCCTACCTGTGGGCTCATTTCTTTACTGGAATATAAAGTTCTGCACCTCCATGGAAACAGAACAACCACAAAGAAGAATTAAGAAATGTCCTCTGTAAATACAACAGTGATTATAAGATACGATAAAACTTTATGAATCCTGAATGTTGGGCCAGATAGTGCTCAGAAAAAAAACAAAATGACTACTAAAAAGTACAAAAGCAATTAGATATCAATTTGATACATTACTGAAATAAAATAAGTAAACTAAAATAAGGCAAGAGAGTTAAAAGTACTGCTGGCAGTTATACTGAGGTAATAAATATTATCACACATGATAATAATATATTGTGTCTGAAAAATTAGATGAAAATAAAATAGCATTCATGAAAAAATATAGAAATACGAGTAGGAACTACGTCATTTTAGTTGTAATCAACTTTAAAAGGTGTGTTTATGCTACTAACCATAAAGAAAGTGGTAATTAGAATTGATTTAGAGGGAAAGCTAATTCCTCTGACTTCTTGCTCTAATAAATTTTCTATTTTGGTGATTTTTTTTAAAAGATTAAATGATTCTCAGAGTAAAAGATTGTATTCAGCATTATAAAACTAACTTTGTGCAAAAAATCATGAGAAAGTGCATCTTAAAAGAGCATTTTCTCTTTCAGTGACAGTTTAAAGTACAGCTCCTCCATTCAGATGGGATGCAAAAGTATTGCACAAATATTGACCCAACTGTCAAAAATGAAAACTGTTTTAAGGATTCACCTCCTACCTCGCTGTCTGTTTGTCTGCAGGCAGGTGAACATTTCTCTACCGGAGGAGACTCGAGCTAACGGGACTCTGTTCGCTGTAGTTTACGTCCATAAAGCTGGAGTTTCACCGCTGGAGGACAGCAGAGAGGTTCACTACGCCGCTCAGCTCACCACCTACATCCTCCCTCCACATGCTGAGGTACGACAGAACCAGATACCTGTGGAACTGCATCACATTTCACCTTCAGCGCAGTCAGGCACTGTAGGTTTTACTGCAGAGATTATTTCTGTGTTTCCATCAGAGGCCCAGATCTGAGAATCCAGTGTCCCATTGGAGGCCCCTCCTGTCAATCACGATGATGTCAGAGGACTTCACCTTCAACAAGGCGGGGCTTCCCAGTGATGTCCGACGCTACATGAGAGTGTGAGTCAAAGATCTGCTGACTTCAGCTGCTTTTACATCAGAGCACCTGAAGGTTTTAGCTGCTCCAATGTCAGATTTTCACCACACGTGTTTAAAACTACTCACAATGAGGATATTATCATGACATGTATTTTTAAAAAAACGACTGTGTTTTCAGTTAAATTCATCTTTAACTTCATTTATTGTTCACTTTGTCTCGACTGGATGTTGTTTCTGTGAGGAGGGGTCAACCTGATAGTTACTGGAGCTGATTATTTACCATCATGTGTGTTTTAATAACATGATATCAGACTTTCATTCTGTAAAAGTCAAGGTTATAGTCAGTACTGGTATATCAGGATTCCCCCAGCCTGGAGGGAAAGATGCTCTCGGCAGTTTGAGAAAAAATGAAGCAGACTGATATTTTATTATAAGTTGAAAATGGAGACAGTAATGTTTAACTAGTTTTAAATCAACACAGAAATTTGAGTTTAAATTACATACAATATTAAGCTGATTAATTTACCCAAATTATTAGTTAAACTAAACTCATCAAAATAAGGTTTGCAACTTAAAAGGTTTTCATCTAAATCAGAAAATTAGATTTTTTAAATAAAAAAACTGTAAAAACCTTGAACGTAAAAATCACATAAAGCTTCACTAACAGTGGAAAGTTTTCAGTCAGACTGAAACTCAAAACCCGAGAAAAGCAAGTTAACTTCAAAAGGCAGAAACGGCAAATACGAAAAACAAAACAAAAAAAAGAATTTTCGGATTTAACTTTTTTTTTTTTTTTTTTTTAAATCATGTGCACCAGATCTGTAAAAGACGAAGTGCTGCTACAACATCCTTCCATCCATCCATTATCTATACACTGCTTAATCCTCACTAGGGTCATTGGGGGCTGGAGTCTATCCCAGCTGACTCAGGGTGAAGGCAGGGGACACCCTGGACAGGTCACCAGTCTATCACAGGGCTACACTTAGAGACAGACAACCAAGCACACTCACATTCACACCTACGGACAATTTAGAATCACCAATTAACCTCAACATGTTTTTGGACTGTGTGGGAGGAAGCTAGAGAACCCGGAGAGAACCCACGCTGCACGGGGAGAACATGCAAACTCCACACAGAAAGATCCTGGTGCCTCCACTGGGAGGCGAACTGGCGACCTTCTCGCTGTGAGGCAACGGTGCTAACCACTGCGCCTGAAACCAAAATATTCACAATAGTTACTTTAATTTTTCAGGCTTTTCTCTGTGTTACTTTAGGATCATTGCCTTTGTTACCCTGAAAATTTGTGAGACACGTCAAAAACGGTGGAGCAGAAGATGCAGAAAGATCCCGGTGTCCTCACCGGGACACAAACCGGCAACCTTCTTGCTGCAAGGCAACAGTGCTAACCTGCTGCGCCACCTTGCAGCCCTACAACAGCCAGAAGGGGCAGTTTTCATGTAGATGTTGCTGAAGTGTGTTTGTATTAAACTTGTGCGTCTGGTTGCAGCTCTCAGGACGGCCGACAGATGATCTACCTTCCTCTGCTGCTGGTCAATGAGCTCAGCTGCAGAGTCAAGGACCTGGTGGTAGGAAGCTACACACACACACACACACACACACACACACACACACACACACACACACACACACAGATTGACTGGATTTTTCACTTAAATTAACATGTTTGTGTGTTAAATTCATGGTCAGGAGATCAGCAGCAGCTCTGCTCAGCTGCCTCTCACTGTGTCCTATGAAGGAATCTCTCTGAGAGGATTCAGGTTCTGGGTCCACCTGCAGGACATGGTTTATTCCCTCAGACAGTTTGGTGAGTGAAGATCATCTAGAATTTTTTATTTTTTATTTTTTTAAAAAATTAGATTATTCTGAGCGAGGGTTAGCATCGGACGTCATCATTTTAAAACTTACTTTATTTCCTCCAGGTGAATAGGATAAAAAATAACATAATCCTGAAACTCCAGCTGATTACGTTAGGACACATTTTTTGTATTGCAAGTTTCTAGAAATCGATATCTATCCATACACCGCTTAATCCTCACTAGGGTCGCGGGTGGGCTGGAGTCTATCCCAGCTGACTTAGGGCGAAGGCAGGAGACACCCTGGACAGGCCACCAGTCTATCACAGGGCAGTTTCCAGAAATGTTCTGTTTAAATATGCAAATGAAGTACTATCTCATTACAAATGCAAAAATTTGCATCATTTTCCAAAAACAAAAATCTGAACTTTGGATGACGTCAACATTTTTTGTTTCATTTTCTGACATATTTTATGGGGCTTTTTTGGAAAACAATTGTGGATATTTTTATTATCGCACAAAAAATAAACAGTTTTCACCCTGTTTTAGGAATAAAATCCTAAATCAGTGAGTCAGCCTCTGACTGATATGTAAACACTGTGTTTTTCTGTTTATCTTGATGATGATTTTAAAAAGTTTGATTATTGAAGATGTGTAACTGAGGGGTCATTCTAACTGTGTCTTATTGGTTTTTAGGCCTTAAAAAGCTAAACATATATCATTCTTTGTGTTTCCAGGCTTCACGGAGGAGAACATCGATGAGATTAAAGAAACTCTGCTTGGATCCAACCTTTACCTGTTGGTGCTGACTGCACTCGTCACAGCTCTGCAGGTGAGACCATGAAACAGCCCAGATTTAACCAAACTGCACATTAACACAAACTGCTGTCAGATTATTTTCTGGATCCCACTTCTGGCATTAGGTGCAGATATGCAGTCAAGCCTAAAATGATTCATACTCAAGCTAAAGTCTGATTTATAGTGAACTTTTATTTGAGCAACAGACTGGAAATGACACAAACAAGTGATTAAAGATGTCAGACTTGGTGTTAGAGATGGTCGTAATACAATTGAACTGTTTATACGGTAAATAAAGCCTTTGCATTGGATTTATTTAAAAAAACAAAACAAAACAAAAACATATGTATGTATTACTGCATTGTGTCACTAATTTTCAGTCAGAGGAAGTCTATTGGTCAATGAAATATTGATTATAAATCTAAATTCAGCATTAAGTATGAATAATTTGAGGCTTGACTATATTACAAATCAAGCTTTGTGTCTAAAAACATGTATTATCTACATTTTCATGTTGTTTTTAGCTCATCTGTGAATTTCTGGCTTTAAAAAACGACATCAGCTCGTGGAGGAAAAAGAAGAGCATGGCGGGAATGTCGAGGAAGTCAGGTAATAAAAAAGCATCTCTTTCAGTGTATTTATGAGGCTGATGTTTGCAGCGTTTATTTAATGACACATGTTCATCATCTGTGTTTGTAGTTCTGTGGCGAAGCCTCAGCACTCTGCTGATCTTCCTCCACCTGCTGGAGGAAACCAGTCTGCTGGTTCTGCTGCCGGTCGGACTGGGAGCCTCTGTGGAGGTAACTTAACTGGAACAAAAACACAACACGGTTCGAGTAAAGATGAGAAGTTTCAGCTTTAACCAACTTGGGTTTCTCCTGTCAGGTGTGGAAGCTGTTCAAAGTGTTTAAGATCCAGCTGCTGTGTAAAAGCAACAAGCTGCATGTGAGTATTTACTGGTGACGTGATGGAAGCAGTTTGTACAGAAACATGTGGTTTAAATCCTGCTGTTGTTGATGTTCTTGTGCAGGTGAACAAACTGGATGAGGAGGAGAGGAGGACGGTGGAGTTTGATGCTCAGGTATCAGCAGGATTCTGGTTTTATTTTGTGCTTCAGACTTTGTTTTGTTTTGATTGTTTTTCTGTGGTTTTGCCTGCAGGCCTGCAGATACCTGTCCTACCTGGTCTATCCTCTGTGCATCAGTGGAGCTGTTTTCTCTCTGGCCTACTTACGCCAAAAGAGGTGAGATGATCAACAGATTTCACTCATAATTTAACCCTTTCATGCATGAATTATTAAAAACTGAGAGGTTTTTTTTTGTGCAACGCAAGACCTATAACATATCCAACTGAATTATTTTCAGTGGATCATTTTGAACGAAATACATCAGCTGTTCAAAATTCACTTTAAATTATTATTATCTTTAATATTACATCATTACAAATACACACATTTACATCAATTTCCAGAACAGAAATCGAAAAATTGGATAACTTTGATCTCAAAATTGACCAGTGCATAAAACAATGACGTTTCTTTCACTGTAACATTTGGTCTAACTGGTGAATTATTGACATAAATGTTCATTCATATTTTCAGTGTCTTGTTGTGTTTCATTTCCACTGACAGAAAAAGAAAATGACCAAAGCCATATTAAGTATTTCTACACTACAGTTCATCCAAGAATATGTTGTGAATCTGTGTTTTTCTTGTAGAACAACAGCAGATATTTCACCACCATCCACCATTTCAGACGTGTCTAACACATTTTCAGGGTAACAAAGGCAATGACCCTAAAGTAACACAGAGAAAAACCTGAAAAATTGAAGTAATTATTGTGAATATTTTCAGTAAAAGTTGTAATAACTCTCCACTGTCTTGGTATAATGCTAATAAACATGACATTTATTCTCCCTACCTTTAATCCTTCAGCACAGATTCTTTCCTGGTGGTGTCTTTGTTCTCCCACACTGACTGTAAGAAATTAAACGTAGCCCTAACACTAATTGAACTGTATTATATCCACAGTTATTACTCCTGGTTGATCAACAGCCTGGTGACTGGTGAGTGTTGTTACATCAGTGAAAACAAGCTCATCTGTGGAGCAGTTTGAATTCTTGTCATTTTTCCATAAAACGAACCTTTGCTGTTATATTAACTGTTATTTTTCTGTTCTGACTCTTTGCTGTCCTCTAATCCTCTCAGGAGTTTATGCTTTTGGCTTCCTGTCGATGGTCCCTCAGCTCTTCATCAACCACAAGGTCTGTTCAGAATGTAGACATTCGTTATTTAACAGATGATCAGCTTATTAATAAAGTGTGTAAATTCAAATGTAAACTCTTGTCTGTTTCAGCTGAAGTCTGTGAGTCACCTGCAGGGGACAGTGTTGATGTACAGGGTGAGTGTTTCTGAAAACCTCAACCTTCTGCACCCCAAACAGCTTGTTGGTTTCTGCTCCTGTCTCATTCGTCCTCACTGTGGCTCAGCTTTCACTGCAATATAAAGTCCTGCAGCTCAGAACAACCACCTCAGCCAGGATTAGACTTTTCAGACTAATCCATCAGCGATTTTCTCTCCACAGGGAGTGAACACGCTGATTTCAGATCTGTGCTCCTTCGCCTCCTTCTTCTCCTCCTCTGGAGCTTTCTCCTCCTCCCATCAGCTCTCCTGCTTCAGAGACGAGCTGCTGTTCCTGCTCTACCTCTACCAGCGAAGGTACGAAACCCCTGAATGCACCAGAAACACACAACGTAAAGCTGCTCCAGGGTTCAGTTTAAAGCTTCTACTCTGCTTCGTGAACCTCCAGCAGCCCAGAGATCAGATAAAACTCTGAGTGACTTTGAATTTAAATTTGAAACTAATTAATGGGCAAAATTGCAAAATCTGAAGTTCAGGATGGACTTTATGCAACACACGAGCTAATTCACATCTGATGCTGTCTCGTGTTAATTCTCCATCACGTGTTTCAAATCTATAAATATTGAACTGAACTTTAAAGGAAGAAAATTAGATCTCAAATCAAATCTTAATATGTGTCACAATTTGTTTTCCTCCAAATTAATCAGCTCTGAAACAAATCAAGTTCTATAAATATAAAACACACATCACACCTGCTTCAAGCTGAATTTATCACAAGTTAGTTTAAAAATCCTGCACAAGAATATGTCTACATGCAACACCAAGGGTTTTGGGAACAGCACAACAAACTCTTCTTTTCCGTTTGGATCGTTGCATCACTTCAATGAATTTGTGGTCAAAGTTGGTCCGACAGAATCCTCCTGCTTTATTCCATATCTTCTCTAGACGTTTCCCCTTCAAACCCAGAAGAAGAGAATCTGTTCCTCACAGCAAGAAGGTGAAGACTCAGTGAGGAGAACATGAACATGCAGAAGGTCAGAAGCCCGGAGGACGTGAGTCAGAGCGGCAGGACGTCTGTGAGCTGCTGCAGCTTCTGACCGATCCAGACTGATGAAGCTTTTTTCTGCTGCAGTGAGTCGACTCCTCGCCTGCAGAACATCTCTGCTGTACACGACGCGCCCAGCTTCATTTCAACACTTCTATCTGCAGCTTCAACACTTCTGATGTCAGTTCATTCTCTGGATTCTGCTCTTTATGAACACACGTGTAAAGGATCCATAACTCACAGTAGCTTGATCAGCATTAATCAGTAATCAGCTTTAGATTAGAATTTAGAATTCAACTCTTTTAGTTGTCGGTTTTTTATATGATCTTGAATGCTTAAGAGTCTCCCTTTAAAGTTTACTTGTTTTTTTTTTCTGTTTGTACAGTTTAAATGTATATAAAGCAACTTCAATAAACTGCATTTCTATGAAGCTAAACGATACGACCTATTATAGACTTTTGTTTTTCTACTGCTGCATTATGTTCATTGTCATGCTGGATTTCTTGTATTACCCAATTTTCCCAAATGCAGCACAACTTGTTTTATACTGAAATGTAAAATAATGTTTGGACAGAAGGTTCTGCAGCGTCGCACAAACCCCACAAAGACCTGCAGAGAGAGAATCAGACCTGCAATGTGAAGCACTTTTTTTCTGATTTTGAAGGTTCAGAAAATAAATAAATGACTCATGTTCTTTAAATGTCAGTAGATAAATTCTTCCGTCATTTCAGTTATTGTCACTTTCAGAACTGTTTTAAAACTTTGCAATGTCAGCATAAAAACTGTGTGTTTGTGTTGCGACGCAGTTTTACTCTTAAAAGATGAAACATACAGAACAGTTTGACTCAACTGACCTTTTTACTGAACTACGCTGTTCTCTTTGAACTGAGAATAATTTACAAAGTTGAAAAAAAAAATCCATTTCATTGTTCTGGTGGTATGCCTGCTTATTTTTTATTTTGTTGTAATCGTATGGAATAGGGCTGGCAGTCACACAATATGATCATGATACAGAGATTTTGGAAGACAATCATGTACGTAGCGTCACAATATCTGTGTAAATGAAGAAAAAATGAAAGTGCAAAAAGCAGGAATGATGTATTTATTCAATGCGTTTTTTTCACTGTGTCACGACCAGGTTAGTGGACCAAAGTACAGGAGGAACTGTGAAACAGAGAGTTTGCTTTAAGGCTGCAGGATAACTGGAGAGAAGGCAGACAGAGGTTTGAACTGGTGTAACTGGGCCAGTCTGGTAAAATGCAGATGATCCTTGTAGCAGAGTTTCAGATCCTGATCCTGATGACGTGCAGCTCAACTGTCTGCCCTCCTGCTTCACTACAAGTTTCATCCACTTTACCTTCATTTATCCGAGAAGAGAAATGATGAACAGTCCTGAAGCAGTGACTCTGAAAGTCCAACTGTTTAAAGTGCCTGCATGTTTTAATAAAACTATGAAGCTATACGTTATGTGGCTGTATTGATGTTTTGTCTCAACCTTTGTATGGAATGATGACAATGTGAGTTTATATCAATGGAGACTGATTGACTGGTTTAATAAATGCAAAACAAGCAACTGGCATTGATTGTCTTCATATACAAAGAATGAATAAATATGTTCACTGTGTCCCTTTAATGTTCCAGGAATAAAGTTGAACATGTGTGTGCTTGGGCTGCAAGGTGACTCAGTGGTTAGCACCGTTGCCTCACAGCTAGAAGGTCGCCGGTTCGCGTCCCGGTGAGGACACCCAGGATCCTTCTGCGTGGAATCTCCATGTTCTCCCCGTGCAGCGTGGGTTCTCTCCGGGTTCTCCAGCTTCTTCCCACAAGGTCCAAAAACATGTTGAGGTTCATTGGTGATTCTAAATTGTCCGTAGGTGTGAATGTGAGTGTGCTTGGTTGTCTGTCTCTAAGTGTAGCCCTGTGATAGATTGGAGACCTGTCCAGGGTGTCCCCTGCCTTCACCCTGAGTCAGCTGGGATAGGCTCCAGCCCCCCACGACCCCAGTGAGGATTAAGAGGTGTATAGATGATGGATGGATGGATGGATGGATGGATGGCGTTAGAACTGTAATCAATAAATAAATTGGCTAGTAAATAACTAAAAACAAATAATGATAGTGATGATAATAACAATAAATAACAATAAACATAAATGCTCAGATGACTGGATTTTGCTGCAGCTGTTTTCACTGACTGTAGAAAATCCATTTTTACTCGCCTGCAACCTGCAGAATAATCTGAAGCTTCACTCTTAACCTTCAGGTTTTTAATTCATCTTAATTTAATCCCAGTTGTCTTTTTGTCATTAAAGTTCATTGTATTTCTACTCTAATGTAAATGGGGCCTCTAAACCTGGATGTATTTCAAGTTTCAATAAAGCTTGAATGAATGAACGAATGAGTGAGTTTCCTCTTGACAAAAGAAGAGAAAGCCGTCCTGCTGCACAGGTGGAGCTCTGCATACTGAAATCATGACATAATGTGTTTCAGGCAGCTGATGTTGTGTCTAAATGAGCCTCACTGTGTCTGTGATTGACAGCAGATAAACAAAAGGTAAGTATCTGTGAAACCAAGGCAAGATGCAGGAATGTTCTCGATGGGTGGATCAGCTTCAGGAGCTTCTGTAAAACAAACAACAGAACCACAGAACAGAGAACAACAGGTTGGACCGCAGACAGACTTCTACACCTGTAAGAAGATGCTGCTCGTCTTCCTCTTCCTCCTCTTCTTCTCTCCAGGTAAGTGAATCTCACCAATGTCAATGTGGGTTTAAATAAATTAGGTATTGTGTTTTGATAATAAAAAAAGAAGTCTGATGAATGTGGTCAGATGAGACAAAGATAAATTTGTTGGGCTCAGATGGAGTCCAGCATGTTTGGCTTGAACCAGACCAGGACGACCACAGTGAATGCATTGTGTGGAAGCACGGAGGTGGAAGTGTGATGATGTGGAGCTGCATGAGTGCAAAAGGTGTTAGGGAGACAACATTTATAGATGCACTATGAATATCTGTGGAAAAAACAAAATACTGGCAGACAAGATGGCTTCCAGCCTGCAGAAGATTGAAGAAGAGGAATATTCTAGCTGAGAACCATCCAAAGAACAACATCACACAAGCGGTTCTGCACAAGAAGAAAGTGGAAACAAGAATGTATATGTCTGAAACAACTCAAAATTTGTACAAAATTACAGAAAAACTGTCCAAATAGACCAAAAAAATAAATAAATAAATAAAGCAAAACCCCGTCCACACTCCTACAACAAACACTTGGTACAAACTGACTTCATGTTTGACCAAAGTGACTAAAAATACGTCCAAAAGAAAATAAAAGCATCCGAAATTACTTGAGATTTGTCCAAAAAAAAAAAAAAAAAGGCAAAACAAGCAAAAAAGGAAGAAAACAACAACAACAACAACAACAACAACAACAACTTGAAATGTATCCATAAGACAAAAAATGACAAGAGACTCTATATAAAAAATAATAATGAAAACTACGATCTGGAAAAATAAGTTCTCCGACTTGACTCCAACAGAACAGCTTTGGGGTATTTTAAAGAAAAAGGCAGAGCAACACAACCCCTTCAGCACAAAAACAGTTTTAAAAAAATGTCTCCAAAGAATTGCAGAAAGTCTTTCTGGAAATTTGTGCAACTCTGGTATCCTCCATGCTGAGGAGGACTGACTATGTCATTTAAAATAAGATGGACATATGAAAAAAATAAAATGAAAGTAAAACACTGGAATCTCAGTAATGGAAGGAGTCCCTACTGTGGGGCCTGAACTTTTTTAATATGTAGCTTTAATGTTGTTTTATTTTGAATCACTTGACTCACAAATGATCAGCTGCAGAGTTTTTAGATATCTGAGATGTGTTGACTGTGGATGGAGCAGAACAATAAACTGGGAGGATCAGTGTGTTGCCTCCTTTTCACTCCACTTTATAATTAAATCAGCAAGACGGACGAGTTCTGACAGTTCTGTCTTTGGGATTCGCTGTCTTTCTATTTATGGAGATTTTTTTTTCTCTCTGAGTTTATGGTTCGTCATAAAGGTCTCCAGGTCTTTAATTTTCTCCCTCTGCATAAGAATCGAGTCAGACTGAGCAGATCTAATAAACCCTTCGTCTGTTAGATGTAAAATGTGCATTTTAATTTTAGGCTTTGCGGATTTTAATGCAGACTTTCAGGAGCCTCACATTGTTAGATGTGAATCAAGACAGACGAGATTATCAGGCCTCATTCCAGTCATGCTGATTCTACTGATGTAAAAGATTTCTTTCATTTCTCTCAGTATCATTTCTCAAGAACGTTTAACTGAGTGAAAGATTAGTTTCAGTTTCAGTAAATTCTCCACATAAAGTATCTGAAATGTCTCAGAAATGTCTTAGAACAGATCAGCGTAGTCTTGGTTCATTCTGTTGGATGAAGGAATGTAATGATCAACTTTGCATACAGAAAAGTAAAATACTGACACGATAAACGTTTAGGCGGCTGCAGCTCAGGTGGTAGAGTGATCGTCCTCTGATCGTAAGGTTGGTGGAAGTGTCCTTGGGCAAGACACTGAACCTGAAGTTGCTCCCAATGGCAGGCAGCACCTTGCATGGCAGCTCTGTCGCCATTGGTGTGTGAATGTGTGTGTGAATGGGTGAATGAGAAACATTGTAAAGCGCTTTGAGTGCCGCTAAGGTAGAAAAGCGCTATATAAGAAATGTTTGTCTGAGCTTAAACCTCTAAATCTGCTCCTGTAGTGTTTGAAAAATCACACAGCAGCTGTCACAGTATAGAATTTGTCTGAATTTGTTGCCTTGTTGCTCTCAGGTGCAGTGCTGTCCCTGGACTGCTATGTGTGCAGCGCTTCTGCCACCAATGAAGAATGCAACCAGAGCAGTCAGGAGTGTCAGCTGCCACTCGACACGTGCATGACTATCGTCGACACGTTAGGTAACAACAACTAACCCGTCGTCAAGAAACACAACGGAAATCCAGATTTTCAGGATCCAGCACTTGTATAAAAAACTCCTTCCTTTATAGCATTATTATAATTATGGGTTTAGTTTGATTATTAAAAAGTCTAAGCTCAGGCCAGCCTCTGCAACGGGAGAAAATAAGTGCAGTGTGTTGCTGTGTGTGCTGCAGGCGCGCTGAAGGCCATCGTGAAGCATTGTGCCAGCAGGGCGACCTGCAACGGAGCCGCGTCCTTCGCGTCAGTCGACTCCAACGGAGACGGAAACTCTGTCAACTGCTGCAACAGCCACAACTTGTGTAACTTCAGCGGAGTCGACTCGATTCACAAACACACAACACTGCTGCTGACTGTGTGTGTTTTGCTGCTGCTGACACACTGAGGCCAGACGCACAACTGATCCACAACCAGCCTGTAATAATCTGTTCTATAACGCATCATGTAAATAGTGTATATTAGAGACATGCTGTAAACACACATGAAGTACATGTACAATTATATATTCCAGGATTTATAATATTTATTCTTCTTGCTGTAACTTATAGAAGCTGCATTAAGCCTTCTAGCACTTCTATTTATATGTACCGTGCTGTGAGTTGTGCTCCTGTTTTCTTTAACGTCTTATAGTTTGTCGTGTCCATGTTAACGGTCTATTAACTTATGAAGCCCAAAGTCCACGGTAAAGGATTTTTTCTTTTTTAAATTCCAGGAAAAACACATTTGAAGTCCAGGCTTTTCCTCTGTTCCTTATCTACATCATCAAGTGTCACATTTATAAAATATTCGCCTGGTTTGGTGTTTCAGAGAGAGGCTGAGGAGATGAGCAGCTGCAATGTCAAGTATGAGAAGAATAATGTGTTTTTTTGAACATGAAAACATAAAAACATATTTTGTTAGACCCTAAAAATACAATTATGAACCTGTAAATAAAACTCATTATGTATAATACGGGGCTCTTTAAAACAGAAAGAGTCACTAGAATGGAGAATAAAATGAAATGAAAACTGTGTAACTACCAATGCTGCAGGTATAAAATGGAATTGAATGCAAAGACTGATTTCGTCATTATTTTATTTCATTGTTTTTTTCCTCCTATTTGACAAGGTGGCTGATTTAGCCCAGACAAAATAAAAACCAGTGTTTACTAGTACGAGTTCTGTACAATTCACCAGTGATACACACCAGTATAGCTTACAATATACCAACATGAGCAGATTTACGCAACAACAAGGAGATAAAATAGATTGTTTTGTTTGTTTTTTGTATTTTTTTTTTGTATTTTTTATTGATTTTTTTTTAAGGTTTTAATCCCTATAACACCCAGATATTTGATAGTTTCTTTGCTGGCTAAACATGGGAATCACATCTGGGTAAAATAGGATTAAAAAAGTTAGGATGTGGGGTTTTTTTTTGTTTGTTTGTTTTTTTGGTGCTGTGCAAATATGCTCTTCTCTGTACCAGTATATCATGCTACACCAGTACAGTCACCAGTATAATTCATATAGCAGTAAGTCATTACACTCCATGTGGGCTCGATATTAACACATGTGATCTGCTGTATTCTCAGTTCAGTGTTTTGTGTCTGCAAGACAAGTTCCAGTCATGTGGCTCCACATTTCATGTGTGTTTGTTTCCCTGGGGACTGTTATAAGGAGGGACATTTTAAAGTGTTACACCTGACAGAAACTGGGACTCGGAGCACGAAGGTTCCAGGTGGGAGGACTGTATGCGTCACTGGTGGGTGGTCAGACAGTTAAAGGTGTGACACTAGTTTTATATGAGGAACATCTGGACAATATTGGGACTATAGAGGAAAGAAGTAAAGCTCAGTGACCAGTCTGAGACATGAGAACCTCCTCTTCACACCGAACCCTCAGAATCCATGTTTTTTTCCATCAGTCTTTGCTGGGATTGAATATCTGCTTGTTTTCAGCACAGAGGAAGAAGAAGGAGAAGAAGAAGAAGAAGAAGAAGGAGAAGGAGAAGAAGAAGAAGACTGCTCAAAACAACACAAAAAACATGGAGCCAGCCAATAAAAAAAGAGTAGTTGAGTGTGTACCCAGACAGAGTTGGATTCTTCACATTTGGAGTCTTTAAAACCTGCTCAGAGAGGAGCTGAGGAAGACTGAGAGGAAGGTAAAAGTGAGTGAAACAGGGAGGAAGGAGGAGGATTGTGTGTTCGGTCTGCTCGGCTGTCCTGTGTTTCCTGTTCCTCCCTCCGTCTCCTCCTCTGCAATTTGAGTCTATAAATAAAACCTGGTGAGACGGAGGGAACACAGGACTGGATGGAGGAGACCAAGAAAAGCCTGGAGTTTACTCTGAGTTTTCTTGAACGTCCACCCGAACCCGAGGAGAAAACATCTGGTTTGTTCTGAGGAAGGAGTTCAGTACCAGCGGTCAAAACAACAGATCAACGTCATTAAGTGGCTGCTGGCTGATGTGAAGTCCATCCTCACTGTGAAGCTTCATGCAGATATGTTGTCAGCGTCCGATGGTTCTGTCTAAAAGCTGTAAATCCACTCGATGTCAACGAGACCCAAGCCCTCCCACGATAGATGAAGCTTCTGACTGTGGAATCAGACTGATCTCAGGCCCAGAGCTGCAGTTTATTCCTCTCTTCCTCGTTGCTTTTCCTCCTTTCTTCACTGTGTTCCAGTCCAAAGAGAGCGAAGCTGCCAAGTCCCTGATTCAGGAAGTGTTTTTGCTCTGTTCTTGTATGACAAAGTCACAGTGGTGGAGATTTTATTCCCAGATTCTAATGATTCTTCGCGGACTGTTCTCTCCATCATGACCGACGTCACTCATCCAGGAGTCTTTAGCTCTGCACCGCCAACAGAAACCACAGTGATGCTGCTGTTGGTCAGCTGGGCGGGCGTTGGGCTAATGTGGGCGGGACTGGGCCATCATCTTCAGCCGCGATTGGTCGATGACGTCCAGCAGGTTCTTGGCGTCGACCGCGAGTGCGTGAGCCGCCGTCAACATCTGCTTCTTGTAGTCCTGCTGCAGGCTGTGACAGAAAACAAATATCAAGAATTTATCTACTTTTGCTAGCAGGGCAAAGTTAGAGATGCAATGTGTGAAAATGTGGCTCCCCCTTGTGGTAGCATCAAAAATAAGATTTTTCTGGACAGGTAACTATTGTTTGAAGTTTTTTTTTGTTGTTTCTTAAAGGTGCAATACATAAGATTTTGATTATACGTATATCTATCTTCTATGATTTACAGCTGGTCCAGTATCATGGTCATGCATGTGAGTCCTTCCCTTTGAAACCGTTGGTCCTCTCTTATAAACAGACAGACTGAGCTGCTGCACAGAAGTGTAGAACGCGTGTAGCAGGTGCCCTAAAAGTTTCAAAACTGAGAATTTATTTCATGTTATTCATCTAAATTATGCGCACTTGTTTCATTTCATCTCAGTTTTAGTCTCTGTTTTGTGGCTCCAAAAATCGTAAAAAAAAAAACAGGCTAAAATCTCCTGATGAAATGAACGGGAAGTCGGCTGGAAAACCGCCAAAACCCAGCCACCTTTGCAACTCTGTAGGTCTGGCACATTTCACAGTAGAAGCTTCAGTCGAAGCCAAAGCGGGTCATAAGACTTTGACTGTTAATCGTCTGAATCCATGTTTTAATATCTTTTACAATTTTAACACAGTCGCAGTTTTGTCAATTTTTGAAAAATTCAGATTCACCCCTATGTAATGTATTTTATGATGCTAGCATGTGCTCATGGTTGTGGCTGGACTGGTTTTGGTTGACTCCTGGGCACATAAACTTTTAGAAGAACAGAATAGAATAGAAAAACACTTTATTTATCCCAGTCTGGGAAATTACTGAAGGTAAATGAAAGAGAAAGAAGCAGGGAGGTGTGACTGATGATAACATTTGCTTTGCTATAAGATGTTTGTTTTCTATTGGTTCTGAAAATCCGCACACAGAACCTTTAATGAAATTATAATATACAGGATGTCTGATAGCGCAGACATCAAATGAATATATACAAGAGGGCAACACGTAAGACAAATCCTCTGTTATATTATGATGTTGTTGGTATGTATAGTCTCCTTGTGTTGGTCCTGGTCACCTGTCCAGGTTGTAACCGTCTGATTTGTGTACCAACCTGGTCATCACATATTGTTGGGCTAACTTCATTTTCCCAATCAGCTCTGCCAAGTCAGAGTTTAGCAGCTTCTGTGCCATCTCGATCTGTGGAAGAAAACACACGTCATTCATTCATCTAATGAAAGAATGAATATTAAATGAATTCATGCCACATGTACGCTGTTGGTAAATTGTGTGTTTGTACCTCTCTGTGTGTACTGGCAGGAAGTTGAGGTAGAGTCTCATCCACTGTGGCCAATAGCGTTCTCAATGCCAGACCCACATCCTGGAACACAAAAACACACCAGTGTCTCTGAAGCTGCCACATTCTGGTTAACAGATGAATCACAAAGGATTCATTATGAAGTAGCAGCATCAAAATTCAGCTCCTTGACGAGCAAAATTAAAACAGTGTGCCATAGTGGTCAAAGGGAACCTGAACATAAAACTACAGCAGAAGTTTGTACGTCAAAAGGAATGAATATACAAGCCGCTGGGTAGTGAGATGGTCTTGTGAGGCTCCTCTCACCTTGACCATGGGAACGTATTCCTCTGGAGGCGCCGGTTGAATCCTGCTCGACATCTCGATCACAGCTTTCACCAATCCCGTCACGTTCTCGTACACCTTGTCGTTGGAGCGGTCCAGGTTGGCGGTGGGAGGCGGGCTGATCTCCTGAGGCTGCAGCTGAAAAATGACGGGACGAGAAACAATAAGCGACGTGTTCAACGAATGAACTGACATTTAGGAGACAAGTGTGGCGACTGACGGTGGGAAACTGGCAGAAAACCAGTAATGACCTTCCTAATGACAAGACATCTATGATCAGAGCGGCCTGTATGAATCCTGCAGGATTATTAAGATGTAAAAGAAAAAACAAACAAACAAAAAAAACAACTCTTGCTTAAGCAAAGACTGTCTGGAGTCATGAAGGAAAATGAGCAGATTAATGAGAAAGGGAGTGGATGAATGAGCGAATGAATATGTGCAGGTATTTTTAATTATTTTTTTTTACTTTGACATGCTTTGATTTTAATCTTCTGAACCCCAAAACCTGTTGGCCAGATTGTTATCTTTGAAAAAACAAAAAACAAAAAAACTGCCAAAACTACACAAAACATTTCTGAGAGCCAGAAATGGTAAAAATACAAAGAATATTAGAATTTTCATAATGTGTGATGTGCAGTTCCAGCAGGCAAAAATGCAGAATTTTTTTTTAGGAACCTTAAAATAGTCTATTATAGATTACAAAAACAAACTGGAGCAATAAAACAAATGCAGCAAGGCTCCAAAACAGTGTACCGAGGAGCAAGTTGTTGGAAGACACATTCAGCATGGTGACACATCTGATGTGCAGAGAAATGTAAAAAAAAAAAAAAAAACACTTGTTTTTTAAAACATCATAGAAATGTAAATTTCTTGAGTAAATGTTACATGTTGAGTCCAACTTGGTATTTTCAATTTTAATCTTTTGTTGTTGTCAAACTGGCCCGAACACATTTCTGAGTTCTCTCTCCTTCTTCATGGTTGTTCTGTTTCCACAGAGCTGCAGGACTTTATATTACAGTGAGACAGGAGAAAAAAACAAACAGAAACTGTTTGGGGTTCAGAAGATTAAAGAAGAGTCCTAACAGACAAATGGTATTAAAGTTAGTCCTCTATTGTGGCCACTAGATGGCAGTGTCACATTGGCACAATTCTACTGTGCACAGATCAGGACGTATTAAATTCACAGCTAATGAGAACTGACATGTACCTACTGACACAAACCAGATCTTCTTGTCTGCTCTGTCTCATATCATCTTTACAGTCTTTCTCATTTTAAACACAAAGCCCTCCTCTTGTCTGAATCCATGTATGCATGTATAAAATCTTCATTTTACTCACCACCTACCGTCAAAACAAATCACAGTATTCTGAAATTCGTACACATGATGTCGTGTTTCTATTGTGGCACTGAAAAGCTACCTCAAAAAAATAAAAAGATGTGGGAAAAACACTACTGAAAAAAATTAATAAACCTCACAGCAGAAGAGAAGGTCTTGTCTGTTAATCGACAAAGATTTTCCATGTGGCTTGGAAAACCGTGGATTTAGTGATTAATTAGTTCAAAGTGTCGCCTACAACAATGAAACCCAACTAGATGAGCATGTAAGCTTGCAAAAAGAAGACGACAGATGCAAGAAAACTGACTGCGGGAATGAAATCAACGTCTAAATACTACAGAATGTGATTGGTTGGACAGAGGAATCAGGGGTCTGATGGACGAGGAGGACCGAATGAGACGAAGACGCACAGTAACCACACTCAGTGAGCTGCTTACCCTCCAGGGCTACAGGTCAACATAAGGCAGAGTGCAGGAGGAGGAAGAGGGAGGAAGAGACGGAGCAGCCAAAGGAAAGAAGATAAAAAATATTAACGCTCTAAAACATGCAATGTGCACATTAGGTCACAGTTGTATCCTTGTATGTGCTGTTACAGGTTTTTCATGTGTATTTATTAGTATTTTGTGTATGTTTGTTGCTGTACATGTGTGTACCTTGACTCCGTCGTTGTAGCTGTCTCCAGTATTCAGGCAGGCCAGGCCGCCCAGCTGGCTCTGGGCTGAGGGTCGAGGGGGTTTCTTTGGGGGCGCCGCATGCTCTGCAGGAGACAGCAAATAAAAGAACAAATTACTTCTACTCACAGTTTTATAGTCACCTACAGTGTGTGGACAGATTCTGTTTTGGTTACCGAGCAGCCCGAGACTATGTTTGTATCGGAGACTACCACAGCATTCAGGAGGCTTAATTTTTTAAATCTATGAGACAAAAATCATCGTATTTTACATGTTTCATTTAAAAACGTGCCAAAATTAAACTGTTTGCACCAGATTCTGTAACTTACACCATTGATCAGATCTAGAAACTGTAAAAATTGAAAAAAAGGCCAGATTTAAACTTTGTGATGATCCCAGAATTCATCCGGTGTGTGGTGTGAGTCCATCAGGGAAATGAACCAAATCCTGCCTAAAAATTGTGATATTTCATCAAAACCATGTTATTTACACGTCTCATTTAAAAATTCACTAAAAATAAACTGTTTTTCCCAGACTCTATAAAAAAAACCCCAAAAATTCTGCTCTCCATGAGTGAATCAGCGGCAACCAGCAGTCACTTATACTCTGGGACTTCTAGGCTGAACTGGGTTGAACTGCAAGTTGTGCATAAACAGAGCAGATAGAGGACATGTGTGGAAACAAATTGGGGAGATTGAGAGGAAAATAAAAGCAATAAAACAAATAAAGCATGGCTCAGAAATGGTAAGCAGAGGACCAAGTAAGCTGCTGGAAGATACAGGACACAGTCAGCGTGGTGAAACATCTTTCTACAGAAAATCTTTGTAAGCATTGATGTCAGGCTTTGTACATTTTTGGAAAATAAATAAATTTAAATTTAAAGAAGTTTAACAGTGTCATATTGCACAAAAGACATTTTTGAGTGTTCTCTACTTCTTGCATTGGTTCTAGTTCTAATAGCTTAAATTCACATTTTCTGATTACTTGACGTCGAACTGGTTTTGGACAAAATACAGCTCCTGATATAAAAATGTAAACTCCCCTGCAAAATCAGCCCACTGTGAAACTATTTCAAGCTGAATGGTTTTCTATTTTCTATTCACGCTCTGTGCACTCAGCATATTGAGCCTGACATGCTGTCTGAGTCCATATAAACAGAGGTTGGTTTGCTCACTAGCAGGCCAACAGAGTTCACAATCAGATCTGTCATATTGTGGCAACAGACTGTAAACTCTGCAGGCAAACACTGACAGAAACGCACTGACACTGGAAAAAAAAAAAGAAAAAAGGCTGCAGATACAGAATCTGTACGCTGAGAGTGAATGGCTGAGTTGTGTAATGACATGTGAACGACATACTTTGGGAGATTAGAAAAGAGAATTAAACAAAAGTGGTTAAGTCACTGTAATTATGGAGGGCCGGTCTATTACCTGGTTTGCCAACGGGCTGGTATATGTGCTGGTTTCCTGTCTGCACAAACAAACAAACAACAAAACAAAACATTGGGTTAGCAAACGCACATCACATATGTAATCAGAAGCTTTGCAGGAAATTAGAACTTCACAGGCAAGAAACCACCAGCAGTCTGAAAAATGTGGGGAATCCAAGTTAATGTTGTTGTCACACGACACCAAGTCTCAATCTGCAAGCTCCCAGCTTTCAGTGGTGTGTGGTCGAGCTTTGTGTTACTGATGTTCACAAAAATATTCTGTGTGACAAAATAGTGTTTCCTTTGTTAGAGCTCCCGTTTCAGAACTGGAAGAGAATCCTGCAGCGTGTCTTTATGATTTGATGCTTGTGAGCATAAAATGATGCCACAGACTCTCCGAGCGGTTCCAGACCCACATATTTACTTTGTTGTATTATTCCTGCATCTTTGTTGTTTTCTCTGTGTGAGAAAACTGCAGTGAGGGATTCTAAAGCCTCGGTGCCGTCGGAGTGTTGAGGTCTGACAACCACCGACACCCAAAAATACTCCACTACAGCAATTTACACACACACACATGCACGCACAAACGAGGGAGATTTTCCCACCACAAACCACAGCCATTCAATGGGAGGAGGAGGACAAGCAGGGAGATGAATTACAGAGACGGAAATATCTTCAGACTGCTGCAACAACTTCTGCTGGCATCAGGGAAACGCAGACATCAACATGCAACTCAAGAGTTCAACTCCGGAGAAGTTTGGGATAAAGTTACACGAAAGCTCTGATCAACAACATGATTTAGATCCGGGATGAAGAAACGAAATCACTGAAAGGCTGCAAGAGAAACATTAGTGGAAGAAGTGATGAAGTTAGATTTCAACACCACCCGGCTGTTAACAGCGTATAACCAGCGGCATATCCTGCAGGAGTCACTGTGCAAATTACTGCACTTATATCACACAGTGTAATTTAAAAAAAAACGATGTGGTTTACTCTCCTAAGTGTTCATAAAAGCCAAAAAATAAATGTCTTCTTTTATACACAAACAAACAAATGTTCTAAAACTTTGACACACAGTCTTAGGTTAGGTTGGAACGGTTATCTTTTTCGAATCATCAAAATTACACCTTCTATCAGATCCAGAAACTGTAAAACTGAAATAACTTGCCAGAGTTTTACACTTTGTGACAGTCCTTGAACTCATCACGTATGACATGTGGTCCCACCAGGAAAATTAACCAAATCTTAGCTTAAAATTGTGATATTTCATCAAAATCCTCTTAATCTTACATGTCTAATGTTAAAATTCTCCAAAAATAAACACCAGATTCAAGAAAAAATTAGAAAGTCTGCGCAAGCATGAAGCCGTGGGTGAATCAGCAGCAACCAGCAGTCACATGACAAAAACGCTTTTTAGCTGAAATACAGGTTGTGCGTAAACGGAGCAAATAGAAGACAAGAATGGAAGCAAATTAGGGAGATTGAGGGAAAACTAAAAGACACTTCAGCAATAAAATAAATGCAGCATAGCTTGAAAATGGCATAGAGAGGGGCACGCTGTCACTAAGTTGGTGGAAGTTACATTCAGTTTATGTTGCAGTGAAAAATGAGCCACAGTGATGAAAAATGTGACAGAAAACGCCCAGAAACAGCGTGGGGTTACAAAGGGTCAAACTGCAAATTGGTTGTTTTGCAAACCAGCAGTATAAAACTCAAAGATGTTCAGCTTACGATGACATAAAACAAAACTGATGGTCTTCAGTTTGAGAAGGCTGAACCTGGATAACGTCTGACATTTGTTTAAAACTCAATAACCAAAATTGCTGCTTTTGTCATTTGACTAATTTTCATAATGGATTATTTAACTAACAGTTTTAGTAGATGCTCTAACACTCAACACTGACGATCCACCTGTACTGGTGCTTTTCACTGTTAAAAAGTACAAACACAAGCAAACAGACTCAGTAAGCTACAGGGCACCGGGGACTGTGGGCAGCACTGGTGCAGAAAATTGAGCTAAAGACACAACTGTGTTTTCTCGCAGCAGTCTTCTATTAATATCCAGTGATGCTGTGAGAATCCTTTGACCCCACATCGCTGACCAACAGGTCACTTCCTGAATCAATCTGCTCTGCTCCAATCAAAACAAACAAAGACCAGAACATGGACTTCCGTCAGCGCTCGTCTTTATCAGACATCCTCTCGCTTAAAACGCAAACAGCTCAGAAATATAACTACAACCCTTTGGAGTGCACGGTTCTGTCAGCCAGAATTGGAAAGAGGTGAATTTGATGTACTGTTGGGGACAGCTTAGCTCTGATGAAACCACCTCATAACAAAATAGATGCTGCTGCTGCTAAAACAACACTAAAGGAAAAGTAACGCACCGGTGGTTGGAGTCCACCTTCTTCTCTGTCCAGACTTCCTCTAGAACTCCTCGTGTCCGGTTTCTAAACACACACAAATAATTACAAACATTAGATCTCCGTTAATCATCAGTATTTAAACTTCTGAACCCCAAAAAGGCACATTATCTTTAAAAAAAATCCTAAAAATTACACCATTTAGAGAGCCGGAAACTGAACAAACAGAATAAATTGATGGATTTTCAACTTTTCTGATGATCCTTAAACTCATCATATAAGGCTTGCAGTACCGTTGGCAAAAATAACCAAATCTAAACTTAAAATTGTAAGATTTCATCAAAATCCCTCTACTTTCAATGTGTCATTGAAAAATGCTGCAACCAGCAGTTACATGATAAAAGATCTGGGACTTTTTAGATGAATTGCAGGCTGTGTTTACGCAGAGACAAGCATGGAAACTAATCAGAGAGACACATACTGGATGAATAAAATAAATGCAGCATGGCCTAGAAACAGTAAACAGAGGAGCAAGTTGTTNAGAAATGTTTGTCTGAGCTTAAACCTCTAAATCTGCTCCTGTAGTGTTTGAAAAATCACACAGCAGCTGTCACAGTATAGAATTTGTCTGAATTTGTTGCCTTGTTGCTCTCAGGTGCAGTGCTGTCCCTGGACTGCTATGTGTGCAGCGCTTCTGCCACCAATGAAGAATGCAACCAGAGCAGTCAGGAGTGTCAGCTGCCACTCGACACGTGCATGACTATCGTCGACACGTTAGGTAACAACAACTAACCCGTCGTCAAGAAACACAACGGAAATCCAGATTTTCAGGATCCAGCACTTGTATAAAAAACTCCTTCCTTTATAGCATTATTATAATTATGGGTTTAGTTTGATTATTAAAAAGTCTAAGCTCAGGCCAGCCTCTGCAACGGGAGAAAATAAGTGCAGTGTGTTGCTGTGTGTGCTGCAGGCGCGCTGAAGGCCATCGTGAAGCATTGTGCCAGCAGGGCGACCTGCAACGGAGCCGCGTCCTTCGCGTCAGTCGACTCCAACGGAGACGGAAACTCTGTCAACTGCTGCAACAGCCACAACTTGTGTAACTTCAGCGGAGTCGACTCGATTCACAAACACACAACACTGCTGCTGACTGTGTGTGTTTTGCTGCTGCTGACACACTGAGGCCAGACGCACAACTGATCCACAACCAGCCTGTAATAATCTGTTCTATAACGCATCATGTAAATAGTGTATATTAGAGACATGCTGTAAACACACATGAAGTACATGTACAATTATATATTCCAGGATTTATAATATTTATTCTTCTTGCTGTAACTTATAGAAGCTGCATTAAGCCTTCTAGCACTTCTATTTATATGTACCGTGCTGTGAGTTGTACTCCTGTTTTCTTTAACGTCTTATCGTTTTCTTGTCCATGTTAAAGTTCTATTAACTTATGAAGTCCACGGCAAAGGATTTTTTTTTTTTTAAATTCCAGGAAAAACCCATTTGAAGTCCAGGCTTTTCTTCTGTTACTTATCTACGTCATCATGTGTCACATTTATAAAATATGGTTGCTAGTTTGGTGTTTCAGAGAGAGGCTGAGGAGATGAGCAGCTGCAATGTAAAGTATGAGAAGAATAATGTGTTTTTTTAAACATGAAAACATAAAAACATATTTTGTTAGACCCTAAAAATACAATTATGAACCTGTAAATAAAACTCATTATGTATAATACGGGGCTCTTTAAAACAGAAAGAGTCACTAGAATGGAGAATAAAATGAAATGAAAACTGTGTAACTACCAATGCTGCAGGTATAAAATGGAATTGAATGCAAAGACTGATTTCGTCATTATTTTATTTCATTGTTTTTTTCCTCCTATTTGACAAGGTGGCTGATTTAGCCCAGACAAAATAAAAACCAGTGTTTACTAGTACGAGTTCTGTACAATTCACCAGTGATACACACCAGTATAGCTTACAATATACCAACATGAGCAGATTTACGCAACAACAAGGAGATAAAATAGATTGTTTTGTTTGTTTTTTGTATTTTTTTTTTGTATTTTTTATTGATTTTTTTTTAAGGTTTTAATCCCTATAACACCCAGATATTTGATAGTTTCTTTGCTGGCTAAACATGGGAATCACATCTGGGTAAAATAGGATTAAAAAAGTTAGGATGTGGGGTTTTTTTTTGTTTGTTTGTTTTTTTGGTGCTGTGCAAATATGCTCTTCTCTGTACCAGTATATCATGCTACACCAGTACAGTCACCAGTATAATTCATATAGCAGTAAGTCATTACACTCCATGTGGGCTCGATATTAACACATGTGATCTGCTGTATTCTCAGTTCAGTGTTTTGTGTCTGCAAGACAAGTTCCAGTCATGTGGCTCCACATTTCATGTGTGTTTGTTTCCCTGGGGACTGTTATAAGGAGGGACATTTTAAAGTGTTACACCTGACAGAAACTGGGACTCGGAGCACGAAGGTTCCAGGTGGGAGGACTGTATGCGTCACTGGTGGGTGGTCAGACAGTTAAAGGTGTGACACTAGTTTTATATGAGGAACATCTGGACAATATTGGGACTATAGAGGAAAGAAGTAAAGCTCAGTGACCAGTCTGAGACATGAGAACCTCCTCTTCACACCGAACCCTCAGAATCCATGTTTTTTTCCATCAGTCTTTGCTGGGATTGAATATCTGCTTGTTTTCAGCACAGAGGAAGAAGAAGGAGAAGAAGAAGAAGAAGAAGAAGGAGAAGGAGAAGAAGAAGAAGACTGCTCAAAACAACACAAAAAACATGGAGCCAGCCAATAAAAAAAGAGTAGTTGAGTGTGTACCCAGACAGAGTTGGATTCTTCACATTTGGAGTCTTTAAAACCTGCTCAGAGAGGAGCTGAGGAAGACTGAGAGGAAGGTAAAAGTGAGTGAAACAGGGAGGAAGGAGGAGGATTGTGTGTTCGGTCTGCTCGGCTGTCCTGTGTTTCCTGTTCCTCCCTCCGTCTCCTCCTCTGCAATTTGAGTCTATAAATAAAACCTGGTGAGACGGAGGGAACACAGGACTGGATGGAGGAGACCAAGAAAAGCCTGGAGTTTACTCTGAGTTTTCTTGAACGTCCACCCGAACCCGAGGAGAAAACATCTGGTTTGTTCTGAGGAAGGAGTTCAGTACCAGCGGTCAAAACAACAGATCAACGTCATTAAGTGGCTGCTGGCTGATGTGAAGTCCATCCTCACTGTGAAGCTTCATGCAGATATGTTGTCAGCGTCCGATGGTTCTGTCTAAAAGCTGTAAATCCACTCGATGTCAACGAGACCCAAGCCCTCCCACGATAGATGAAGCTTCTGACTGTGGAATCAGACTGATCTCAGGCCCAGAGCTGCAGTTTATTCCTCTCTTCCTCGTTGCTTTTCCTCCTTTCTTCACTGTGTTCCAGTCCAAAGAGAGCGAAGCTGCCAAGTCCCTGATTCAGGAAGTGTTTTTGCTCTGTTCTTGTATGACAAAGTCACAGTGGTGGAGATTTTATTCCCAGATTCTAATGATTCTTCGCGGACTGTTCTCTCCATCATGACCGACGTCACTCATCCAGGAGTCTTTAGCTCTGCACCGCCAACAGAAACCACAGTGATGCTGCTGTTGGTCAGCTGGGCGGGCGTTGGGCTAATGTGGGCGGGACTGGGCCATCATCTTCAGCCGCGATTGGTCGATGACGTCCAGCAGGTTCTTGGCGTCGACCGCGAGTGCGTGAGCCGCCGTCAACATCTGCTTCTTGTAGTCCTGCTGCAGGCTGTGACAGAAAACAAATATCAAGAATTTATCTACTTTTGCTAGCAGGGCAAAGTTAGAGATGCAATGTGTGAAAATGTGGCTCCCCCTTGTGGTAGCATCAAAAATAAGATTTTTCTGGACAGGTAACTATTGTTTGAAGTTTTTTTTTGTTGTTTCTTAAAGGTGCAATACATAAGATTTTGATTATACGTATATCTATCTTCTATGATTTACAGCTGGTCCAGTATCATGGTCATGCATGTGAGTCCTTCCCTTTGAAACCGTTGGTCCTCTCTTATAAACAGACAGACTGAGCTGCTGCACAGAAGTGTAGAACGCGTGTAGCAGGTGCCCTAAAAGTTTCAAAACTGAGAATTTATTTCATGTTATTCATCTAAATTATGCGCACTTGTTTCATTTCATCTCAGTTTTAGTCTCTGTTTTGTGGCTCCAAAAATCGTAAAAAAAAAAACAGGCTAAAATCTCCTGATGAAATGAACGGGAAGTCGGCTGGAAAACCGCCAAAACCCAGCCACCTTTGCAACTCTGTAGGTCTGGCACATTTCACAGTAGAAGCTTCAGTCGAAGCCAAAGCGGGTCATAAGACTTTGACTGTTAATCGTCTGAATCCATGTTTTAATATCTTTTACAATTTTAACACAGTCGCAGTTTTGTCAATTTTTGAAAAATTCAGATTCACCCCTATGTAATGTATTTTATGATGCTAGCATGTGCTCATGGTTGTGGCTGGACTGGTTTTGGTTGACTCCTGGGCACATAAACTTTTAGAAGAACAGAATAGAATAGAAAAACACTTTATTTATCCCAGTCTGGGAAATTACTGAAGGTAAATGAAAGAGAAAGAAGCAGGGAGGTGTGACTGATGATAACATTTGCTTTGCTATAAGATGTTTGTTTTCTATTGGTTCTGAAAATCCGCACACAGAACCTTTAATGAAATTATAATATACAGGATGTCTGATAGCGCAGACATCAAATGAATATATACAAGAGGGCAACACGTAAGACAAATCCTCTGTTATATTATGATGTTGTTGGTATGTATAGTCTCCTTGTGTTGGTCCTGGTCACCTGTCCAGGTTGTAACCGTCTGATTTGTGTACCAACCTGGTCATCACATATTGTTGGGCTAACTTCATTTTCCCAATCAGCTCTGCCAAGTCAGAGTTTAGCAGCTTCTGTGCCATCTCGATCTGTGGAAGAAAACACACGTCATTCATTCATCTAATGAAAGAATGAATATTAAATGAATTCATGCCACATGTACGCTGTTGGTAAATTGTGTGTTTGTACCTCTCTGTGTGTACTGGCAGGAAGTTGAGGTAGAGTCTCATCCACTGTGGCCAATAGCGTTCTCAATGCCAGACCCACATCCTGGAACACAAAAACACACCAGTGTCTCTGAAGCTGCCACATTCTGGTTAACAGATGAATCACAAAGGATTCATTATGAAGTAGCAGCATCAAAATTCAGCTCCTTGACGAGCAAAATTAAAACAGTGTGCCATAGTGGTCAAAGGGAACCTGAACATAAAACTACAGCAGAAGTTTGTACGTCAAAAGGAATGAATATACAAGCCGCTGGGTAGTGAGATGGTCTTGTGAGGCTCCTCTCACCTTGACCATGGGAACGTATTCCTCTGGAGGCGCCGGTTGAATCCTGCTCGACATCTCGATCACAGCTTTCACCAATCCCGTCACGTTCTCGTACACCTTGTCGTTGGAGCGGTCCAGGTTGGCGGTGGGAGGCGGGCTGATCTCCTGAGGCTGCAGCTGAAAAATGACGGGACGAGAAACAATAAGCGACGTGTTCAACGAATGAACTGACATTTAGGAGACAAGTGTGGCGACTGACGGTGGGAAACTGGCAGAAAACCAGTAATGACCTTCCTAATGACAAGACATCTATGATCAGAGCGGCCTGTATGAATCCTGCAGGATTATTAAGATGTAAAAGAAAAAACAAACAAACAAAAAAAACAACTCTTGCTTAAGCAAAGACTGTCTGGAGTCATGAAGGAAAATGAGCAGATTAATGAGAAAGGGAGTGGATGAATGAGCGAATGAATATGTGCAGGTATTTTTAATTATTTTTTTTTACTTTGACATGCTTTGATTTTAATCTTCTGAACCCCAAAACCTGTTGGCCAGATTGTTATCTTTGAAAAAACAAAAAACAAAAAAACTGCCAAAACTACACAAAACATTTCTGAGAGCCAGAAATAGTAAAAATACAAAGAATATTTGAATTTTCATAATGTGTGATGTGCAGTTCCAGTTGGAAAAAATGCAGATTTTTTTTTAGGAACCTTAAAATTGTCTATTATAGATAAAAAAAACCCAGACTGGATCAATAAAACAAATGCAGCATGGCTCCAAAACAATGTACCGAGGAGCAAGTTGTTGAAAGACACATTCAGCATGGTGACACATCTGATGTGCAGAGAAACGTAAAAAAAAAAAAACATTTATTTTTTTAAACATCATAGAAATGTAAATTTCTTGAGTAAATGTTACATGTTGAGTCCAACTTGGTATTTCAACTTTAATCTTTTGTTGTTGTCAAACTGGCCGGAACACATTTCTGAGTTCTCTCTCCTTCTTCATGGTTGTTCTGTTTCCACAGAGCTGCAGGACTTTATATTACAGTGAGACAGGAGAAAAAAACAAACAGAAACTGTTTGGGGTTCAGAAGATTAAAGAAGAGTCCTAACAGACAAATGGTATTAAAGTTAGTCCTCTATTGTGGCCACTAGATGGCAGTGTCACATTGGCACAATTCTACTGTGCACAGATCAGGACGTATTAAATTCACAGCTAATGAGAACTGACATGTACCTACTGACACAAACCAGATCTTCTTGTCTGCTCTGTCTCATATCATCTTTACAGTCTTTCTCATTTTAAACACAAAGCCCTCCTCTTGTCTGAATCCATGTATGCATGTATAAAATCTTCATTTTACTCACCACCTACCGTCAAAACAAATCACAGTATTCTGAAATTCGTACACATGATGTCGTGTTTCTATTGTGGCACTGAAAAGCTACCTCAAAAAAATAAAAAGATGTGGGAAAAACACTACTGAAAAAAATTAATAAACCTCACAGCAGAAGAGAAGGTCTTGTCTGTTAATCGACAAAGATTTTCCATGTGGCTTGGAAAACCGTGGATTTAGTGATTAATTAGTTCAAAGTGTCGCCTACAACAATGAAACCCAACTAGATGAGCATGTAAGCTTGCAAAAAGAAGACGACAGATGCAAGAAAACTGACTGCGGGAATGAAATCAACGTCTAAATACTACAGAATGTGATTGGTTGGACAGAGGAATCAGGGGTCTGATGGACGAGGAGGACCGAATGAGACGAAGACGCACAGTAACCACACTCAGTGAGCTGCTTACCCTCCAGGGCTACAGGTCAACATAAGGCAGAGTGCAGGAGGAGGAAGAGGGAGGAAGAGACGGAGCAGCCAAAGGAAAGAAGATAAAAAATATTAACGCTCTAAAACATGCAATGTGCACATTAGGTCACAGTTGTATCCTTGTATGTGCTGTTACAGGTTTTTCATGTGTATTTATTAGTATTTTGTGTATGTTTGTTGCTGTACATGTGTGTACCTTGACTCCGTCGTTGTAGCTGTCTCCAGTATTCAGGCAGGCCAGGCCGCCCAGCTGGCTCTGGGCTGAGGGTCGAGGGGGTTTCTTTGGGGGCGCCGCATGCTCTGCAGGAGACAGCAAATAAAAGAACAAATTACTTCTACTCACAGTTTTATAGTCACCTACAGTGTGTGGACAGATTCTGTTTTGGTTACCGAGCAGCCCGAGACTATGTTTGTATCGGAGACTACCACAGCATTCAGGAGGCTTAATTTTTTAAATCTATGAGACAAAAATCATCGTATTTTACATGTTTCATTTAAAAACGTGCCAAAATTAAACTGTTTGCACCAGATTCTGTAACTTACACCATTGATCAGATCTAGAAACTGTAAAAATTGAAAAAAAGGCCAGATTTAAACTTTGTGATGATCCCAGAATTCATCCGGTGTGTGGTGTGAGTCCATCAGGGAAATGAACCAAATCCTGCCTAAAAATTGTGATATTTCATCAAAACCATGTTATTTACACGTCTCATTTAAAAATTCACTAAAAATAAACTGTTTTTCCCAGACTCTATAAAAAAAACCCCAAAAATTCTGCTCTCCATGAGTGAATCAGCGGCAACCAGCAGTCACTTATACTCTGGGACTTCTAGGCTGAACTGGGTTGAACTGCAAGTTGTGCATAAACAGAGCAGATAGAGGACATGTGTGGAAACAAATTGGGGAGATTGAGAGGAAAATAAAAGCAATAAAACAAATAAAGCATGGCTCAGAAATGGTAAGCAGAGGACCAAGTAAGCTGCTGGAAGATACAGGACGCAGTCATCGTGGTGAAACATCTTTCTACAGAAAATCTTTGTAAGCATTGATGTCAGGTTTTGTACATTTTTGGAAAATAAAGAAATTTAAATTTAAAGAAGTTTAACAGTGTCATATTACACAAAAGACATTTTTGAGTGTTCTCTACTTCTTGCATTGGTTCTAGTTCTAATCTTAAATTCACATTTTCTGATTACTTGACGTCCAACTGGTTTCAGACAAAATACAGCTTCTGATATAAAAATGTAAACTCCCCTGCAAAATCAGCCCACTGTGAAACTATTTCAAGCTGAATGGTTTTCTATTTTCTATTCACGCTCTGTGCACTCAGCATATTGAGCCTGACATGCTGTCTGAGTCCATATAAACAGAGGTTGGTTTGCTCACTAGCAGGCCAACAGAGTTCACAATCAGATCTGTCATATTGTGGCAACAGACTGTAAACTCTGCAGGCAAACACTGACAGAAACGCACTGACACTGGAAAAAAAAAAAGAAAAAAGGCTGCAGATACAGAATCTGTACGCTGAGAGTGAATGGCTGAGTTGTGTAATGACATGTGAACGACATACTTTGGGAGATTAGAAAAGAGAATTAAACAAAAGTGGTTAAGTCACTGTAATTATGGAGGGCCGGTCTATTACCTGGTTTGCCAACGGGCTGGTATATGTGCTGGTTTCCTGTCTGCACAAACAAACAAACAACAAAACAAAACATTGGGTTAGCAAACGCACATCACATATGTAATCAGAAGCTTTGCAGGAAATTAGAACTTCACAGGCAAGAAACCACCAGCAGTCTGAAAAATGTGGGGAATCCAAGTTAATGTTGTTGTCACACGACACCAAGTCTCAATCTGCAAGCTCCCAGCTTTCAGTGGTGTGTGGTCGAGCTTTGTGTTACTGATGTTCACAAAAATATTCTGTGTGACAAAATAGTGTTTCCTTTGTTAGAGCTCCCGTTTCAGAACTGGAAGAGAATCCTGCAGCGTGTCTTTATGATTTGATGCTTGTGAGCATAAAATGATGCCACAGACTCTCCGAGCGGTTCCAGACCCACATATTTACTTTGTTGTATTATTCCTGCATCTTTGTTGTTTTCTCTGTGTGAGAAAACTGCAGTGAGGGATTCTAAAGCCTCGGTGCCGTCGGAGTGTTGAGGTCTGACAACCACCGACACCCAAAAATACTCCACTACAGCAATTTACACACACACACATGCACGCACAAACGAGGGAGATTTTCCCACCACAAACCACAGCCATTCAATGGGAGGAGGAGGACAAGCAGGGAGATGAATTACAGAGACGGAAATATCTTCAGACTGCTGCAACAACTTCTGCTGGCATCAGGGAAACGCAGACATCAACATGCAACTCAAGAGTTCAACTCCGGAGAAGTTTGGGATAAAGTTACACGAAAGCTCTGATCAACAACATGATTTAGATCCGGGATGAAGAAACGAAATCACTGAAAGGCTGCAAGAGAAACATTAGTGGAAGAAGTGATGAAGTTAGATTTCAACACCACCCGGCTGTTAACAGCGTATAACCAGCGGCATATCCTGCAGGAGTCACTGTGCAAATTACTGCACTTATATCACACAGTGTAATTTTAAAAAAAACGATGTGGTTTACTCTCCTAAGTGTTCATAAAAGCCAAAAAATAAATGTCCTCTTTTATACACAAACAAACAAATGTTCTAAAACTTTGACACACAGTCTTAGGTTAGGTTGGAACGGTTATCTTTTTCGAATCATCAAAATTACACCTTCTATCAGATCCAGAAACTGTAAAACTGAAATAACTTGCCAGAGTTTTACACTTTGTGACAGTCCTTGAACTCATCACGTATGACATGTGGTCCCACCAGGAAAATTAACCAAATCTTAGCTTAAAATTGTGATATTTCATCAAAATCCTCTTAATCTTACATGTCTAATGTTAAAATTCTCCAAAAATAAACACCAGATTCAAGAAAAAATTAGAAAGTCTGCGCAAGCATGAAGCCGTGGGTGAATCAGCAGCAACCAGCAGTCACATGACAAAAACGCTGGGACTTTTTTTTAGCTGAAATACAGGTTGTGCGTAAACGGAGCAAATAGAAGACAAGAATGGAAGCAAATTAGGGAGATTGAGGGAAAACTAAAAGACACTTCAGCAATAAAATAAATGCAGCATAGCTTGAAAATGGCATAGAGAGGGGCACGCTGTCACTAAGTTGGTGGAAGTTACATTCAGTTTATGTTGCAGTGAAAAATGAGCCACAGTGATGAAAAATGTGACAGAAAACGCCCAGAAACAGCGTGGGGTTACAAAGGGTCAAACTGCAAATTGGTTGTTTTGCAAACCAGCAGTACAAAACTCAAAGATGTTCAGTTTACGATGATATAAAACAAAACTGATGGTCTTCAGTTTGAGAAGGCTGAACCTGGATAACGTCTGACATTTGTTTAAAACTCAATAACCAAAATTGCTGCTTTTGTCATTTGACTAATTTTCATAATGGATTATTTAACTAACAGTTTTAGTAGATGCTCTAACACTCAACACTGACGATCCACCTGTACTGGTGCTTTTCACTGTTAAAAAGTACAAACACAAGCAAACAGACTCAGTAAGCTACAGGGCACCGGGGACTGTGGGCAGCACTGGTGCAGAAAATTGAGCTAAAGACACAACTGTGTTTTCTCGCAGCAGTCTTCTATTAATATCCAGTGATGCTGTGAGAATCCTTTGACCCCACATCGCTGACCAACAGGTCACTTCCTGAATCAATCTGCTCTGCTCCAATCAAAACAAACAAAGACCAGAACATGGACTTCCGTCAGCGCTCGTCTTTATCAGACATCCTCTCGCTTAAAACCCAAACAGCTCAGAAATATAACTACAACCCTTTGGAGTGCACGGTTCTGTCAGCCAGAATTGGAAAGAGGTGAATTTGATGTACTGTTGGGGACAGCTTAGCTCTGATGAAACCACCTCATAACAAAATAGATGCTGCTGCTGCTAAAACAACACTAAAGGAAAAGTAACGCACCGGTGGTTGGAGTCCACCTTCTTCTCTGTCCAGACTTCCTCTAGAACTCCTCGTGTCCGGTTTCTAAACACACACAAATAATTACAAACATTAGATCTCCGTTAATCATCAGTATTTAAACTTCTGAACCCCAAAAAGGCACATTATCTTTAAAAAAAATCCTAAAAATTACACCATTTAGAGAGCCGGAAACTGAACAAACAGAATAAATTGATGGATTTTCAACTTTTCTGATGATCCTTAAACTCATCATATAAGGCTTGCAGTACCGTTGGCAAAAATAACCAAATCTAAACTTAAAATTGTAAGATTTCATCAAAATCCCTCTACTTTCAATGTGTCATTGAAAAATGCTGCAACCAGCAGTTACATGATAAAAGATCTGGGACTTTTTAGATGAATTGCAGGCTGTGTTTACGCAGAGACAAGCATGGAAACTAATCAGAGAGACACATACTGGATGAATAAAATAAATGCAGCATGGCCTAGAAACAGTAAACAGAGGAGCAAGTTGTTAGAAGATACATTCAGCATGGTGAAACATCTTTCAACAGCTCGTATCTACAGCCAATTTGGTAATACTTAAATGTTGGACATGTTGATTCCAGGTTTTTACAATTCTAGAAAAATAAATTAAAGAGTTTTAACTTTTATTTTTTTTCTCTATAATTTACGGCATTACAATTTAATATTGCCGTGAAAAATGAGCCCACAGTGAGGAAAAGTGTTACAGGAGCAGAAAATACCCAGAAACTAATTGGGCTTCAGAGAGTTAAGTTCAGGGCTGGTCATATTTCAAACTGAAATCAATTAGAGATCCACTGTGACAGAGTCAAAGATCTGTAATTACAGTTGTACTAAATGATTGTGAGGTTTTCATGAACAGGGAGCCACATTGCTTCTCTGTTTGCGTCTTTTAAAGTAAAATTAGACTTTTGTCAAACATCTTTAACAGCATCCTGTCAGCACAGCTTCTCACGCTGCTGCCACACTGGTCTCCTAACCAGGTAGATTCACTGGTTTTAGGGATCATATTACCTTTTTGTGAACAGATTTAACTCTCCAAACTCTCAACTCTCGACTGAATGAAGAAATGAATGGCTGAAAATCTCACACAAAAACCATCAACATATCCATTCAAACACATCAGATTAAAAACAAACTCTATAAAGCTGGCAACATTCCATGACTTCTGGGAGCCTCAACACAACGTTTTTAAAACTTAAAAACAACTTTTTATACTGGTAAGCAACCACTTGTCCCACAAAGTCAAAATCAAAGTACCACAAGCTGCCCTTTCACACCATCACTCCTCACATACCAGTTTTCCAAGACAGGACTTGAAGACCAGCATTGCCATTGAGTTCATCAAAGTTTCCTGACGAATCTTTTTGTGTCCAACTTGTGTGAGGTGTTTTGTCTCTGTTGCTATCTTCTGATCTTACAGCTCTGTCTGAATGTTTTCCTGTACGCTCGTCTTTGGCAGCAGTTTCATGGAGAGAAGAATTTGGATAGGACTCCAGCTTCCTGCCTCCAGCACACTTATATCTGAGGAGGAGGAGGAGGAGGAGGAGGAGGAGGAGGCAGGGGGGATGAAGCAACGCTCCCAACCAGCCGTCAGTATGCGAGTGTGTCTTCCCTTCTTTTCCCAAACCCTTCTGCCTTCTCCTCCCTGAAGTGACAGCATTGTAAAAAAAAAAAAAAAAGCCTAAACACACACTTTCACATGCACACACGCACACACACACACACACACACACACACACAGAGTGAACGCCTCCTCAGCTTTTCAGTAATCTTGTGTGTTGTCAGTTAATGGTTTGGGTCAAAGACAGACTGTCAGACTCTGTAAGCCTATCATTAGCCTGGAATTCACACAGGCCACACCTGCCTACAAACTCTCTCTCTCACACACAAACATGCACAATAAAATCCTCGAGCCAAAAAAGTTCCAGACAGACTCCTTCAATCACTGTTCACAGAAAAATGCTTCCTACAAGGAAATGTTCCTCCCTCCTGCCAACTTTGTCTTTCTGTCACTGGGGTTCTCTCTCAGAAACACTGGATCTGTAAGAGGAGCTGTGTTCGTTTATCTGTGCGCGCCAGAGTTTCAACAGAAAAAGCCTGAAAAAGAAAAAGAAAAAAAACTACCATGGAATAACTTGGAAATGTGTCCCTAGAGCCAGATCCTAAGATCTAAGAAGAAAAGAGCCATGAAAATGAGCATTCCACTGGGCTATACAATCCATCCTTGTCACGGTGCGCCTTTACTAGCTAAACTCCCACAATGCTCTTGGCTTACCAACATGGTAGTTCCTGCCCCCAAGAGTCACATCAGTATTAAAAACAAAAAAAACAAAAAGAGATAACACAGAAAACGCAAAACCCAAAAAACATGTGATATAGAAAAAAAGGAAAAACACAGATACACAATAAAAAAACACACAGAGGAGAACACAAGAGAAAAAAAAAAAAAAAAGGGACACAGACATAAACATTTACGGTTGCAATGTAGGTAAAAACAGTACGTAAGTTTTGGTTTTGGTCAGAAGAAGGCCTGTACATCATGTTAAAACTTCATCTTCCTATATCCTATAATTTCCCTTTAACACAGGATGTTTTATGGGTGTTAGATGAGCCTTTCATGTGACGTTTTCAACACAAGCTCTCTTGAAGAGTTGAAGACCCACTTTTAAGCCTTTGTTAACACTGCAAACCAGATATACTGAAGCTAGTTCATCTGTTTCAGCAAATTACTGCACTGCTGAAGTTTCAAAAAGAGTTAGGTCTGGAGGAATCTCACACCTGTGTCAGCTCACAAGATATACAGTTGAAACCAGAAGTTTACATACACTGGATAAAAAGACATAAAACCTTTTGTTTCCTCACTATCTAACATTAAATCAGACTAAACTTTTCCTGTTTTAGGTCACTTAGGATTACCAAAAACTATTCCTCATTTATTCCTAATAATAGTTGCAACTTTAGAATAACGTCCCAATAACATATATAAACTATTAACTGATACTTAACAAGTCATTAGTAAGTAATTCACTAATGGCTTGTTCATGATCTATGACTGGTTTATAAGGTATGGCTGTAAATCATTAATATACAGTTAACAAGTCATTTATAACTCATTAACTAACAGTTTGTAAATGTTTATTAACTATCTATAAGGCATCGTAATAAATCATCAACAAATTATTAAACACTTAACAAGTGGTTAATAACTCACTAATTAACAGTTTACAAATGATCTATTAACTAGTTATTATAAAGTGTTACAGAATCCTCTTTTACCGATGGTAGGAAATCAGAGCAGAGTGACATCGACGTTAGAAAGGCTGAGGATGAAATATTTTACTCAAAGACACCACAGCAGACATAAAGTCAAATAATTATTTCTTAAAACGTTTGAGGGTCTTGTTTTTAAGCCCCTTTCAGACACATTCACTGCTTTCCGATAATTTGACAGCACTTGAACGTGTCATCTTCATATTTTCTGTAAAGTCTAAAACTCAGTCTAAATTCGTTGATACTGTGATGAACGTTAAAAAAAAAATGTTTTCAGGACGTCAGTAAACTCAATTTCTGAATACAAAAATATGACCCACAAATACCAAGAAAGCAAATGAACAACACATTTTGAACCAAAATGAGCACAATTCACCATGCACAAGATCACATAAAACAAACAAAAAAAAACAACCAACAACAATGCATCAAAGCTCTTCAAATGCAGCTTGTCTCCAGTTCTCCACAGAGAAATGTTTATGACTATACAGAGGCACTGTACTGTTTTGTGATATTTGTGCAGATTTGAAGATGAAACTTGTTTAAAAGTGGCAAAATAGACATATAATATATTTCTCTTTCAAAATATGTCATCAAACCTTTGTTTGTTTGCCTCTAAAACACAAACCGATTTTCATTTCAGTTGTGTAAGATTTGCCTCAAGCAAAGAGGCAATATCAAGGCACTAACGGCGCAGAGCATCAAGCTAAATCCAAAGTTAAATACACAGTTGCAGCCTCAGTTTTGCATATTTCTGTATTTTCCACCGTGTGTGCTGTGTGTGTTACCAGCAGCCTTTCCTCCTGTTCCAGCCACCTCTGATCCGCCTCCATCTGCTGCTGTTGTATCATCAGCTGTTCCTCCATTAACAGGCACTGCTGTTCTACACACTGCTGCATGTCTACCGCACCGTCCTACACACAAACAGCCGCACAAACACACACAAATGTGCAACAAAAGACGAGCATAGCAGAACAGACATGCACACCGACACAGACGCCAACACATGAAGGGAAACATGCAAACGGACAGACAGACAGACACGTACACCAGACTGATGAGATGCTGAACTGAGATGGTGGACGAACACAGACTGAAAATAATGCGAGTCAATGGGCTGCTGATCTGTACCAGAATATACACAAACTTTTGTTCACGACTGCAAATCATCTGGAGCAAAACCTTGTTGGTTAGCTTCATTTGTGGACTGGAGTCATTATACACAGGCTCACTTTTTGTTCACAATATTTTTTGGGGCAGTTTGTTCACAGTCAACTGTCAGTTTTATCTAAGACTATTTTTCATATCATATATATATATATGTTTGTTTGTTTTTTTTAAATAAAGGCAACATTTATTTTCAGGATTTCAGAAAGATAAAATAATAACTGCTTTTTTGGGGGAAATTATTTGTTGCAGACACAAGCTTTTGACAATCAAGATATTTATATCATTTTAATAACAATAGAAAGTGTGGCTGATATTTAATGCTGATCTTTAGCAACATATTTCCGTGTGTTTCAGTGGACAGTCCTGACTTACCTGTGTGTGTGTGTGTGTGTGTGTGTGCGTGCAGGTTGTGTGTGCATCAGTATAAATTGGTCTCTTACCTCCATTGCAGATCCCCACAGAGCCATGTCCTGTCCGTGCGGCTGAGGAAGGTGCTGTACGTGTGAATGAGTGTGCACGTGGTGTCGGGGGTGAGTGTGCGCGTGGTGAGTGTCCAGCATGGCGGCCGGTGGAGGGTACAAGGCGCTGGGCACCGAGGGCAGAGTGTGAGGGCCTGGGTACCCCGCCATCTGGAGGCCAACACAGACACAAAGGTATTATCATATCAGTTCTCTTTGACTTCTTTATGTTCTTATTACTGAGACACTTGGATTTAATGAAGCCCTTTTCAGACATGGGATATCTAAAGTTATTGGCCTCATCGACACGTTAAAGTGACGGCATTCTGTCATTCAGACCGCGGTAACTTTTCCAGGAATGTTCCTTGTGGCTTCATTCAGACTGCCCACCACAGGTATACGTACAGTATACAAAGAGATTAAACAGTACATCAAGTGACACGATGATGCAGCAATCAAAAAAAAAAAAAAACTAACTACAAGTTTATCAAACTGGCCCAAACACTGACAGTTTTGTCCTGTGTTATGATATTTTAACTGCTATTTTATTAACAGTAAAATGAAAACATCCCTGTGATGGAGCTCCAACCTCAGGATGTTTGCTGTGTAACTAAATATTCACCTGCAGCTGATTAACTGTGACTCTGACAGCTCACCTGTCTGAGTGTGGCCTGCTTTCAGATCCTCATCAATCCTGTCTCTGTGTTTCATTATTTATAATTATTAGCAAGTTACTTCTGTTGTTCCACTTGCGTAAATGCACAAAATCCTCTCGATTCAGACACACTAATATGGATCCTGCTGCTGTCTGATGATGCAGGCGTTTAATAAAATTCCTACAAACAGCTGGAAGCAACAAACAGAACTTCAGCTCCTAAGAACATTTTTATCCAAACTGTGTTTATAATAATTATTAGTGAGTCTCTTTAATCTTACTTTTGCCACTTTTATTGCAGTAAACTTTTCTTTTTTTCTCACATTTAAGTTTGTAATAGATGTGAAATTATAAAGCAAAGTAAATGAAAAAGGTGTTTTTATGATTTTGGCAGCAAACTCTGCACTTTGTTTGATGTTTCTCAATCGTTACTGGTGCTAAAATGTGGAAAAAGTCTTTCCAAAATTGCCTCACACAGCTCAAAGTGTGTTGTTTGTGCATTACTTGGTCTGACCTAGATTACAAGTCACGACTTTTACGGCAAAGTGACTAAGTGCTCTTTCAGACATAAAGCCAAAATATTCAGCTGCCGCCAGACTAACAGAAAAGAGCTCATGTCTGAAAGAAGCTTTACATAACAATTCAAGTTTTGTAATTACACACACTAGCAGGAGCGTCGTGGAGCTTGTGTACATACCTGGTAGTGCCCAGGATGCTGAGGACTGGGGTAGAAACCTTCACTGGACCGAGGACTGGGATAACCTGGTCTACTGGGCTACAGACACAGACAAAGAAAAAACATAAAACACACAGTTAGCATGTTTGATCATCCTCCTCCTCAATAATGAAACGCTACAAGATGGGAGTCATTCAGACAATCAACACACAAACCCCAGGAGCTGTTTGTGTGGCCAGGTTAGCTGTCAGTCAGAACAGGGACCACCCACTGGGCTGCAAGTCCAGCAAGCTGTTAGTCGAACTGGATCTAGCTACTGTTCCTGTTGCAAACATCCATGGATTACTGGTGTAAAACTGTGTTATACTTGTTGGCTGCTGGTTAGATGTGATGCAGGTGTAAACACAGAGAGCTGCACGTTCACCAAAGACCTCTCTTTCAAGCAAACTGTTATAGTTTTACTGCCGCTGACCAGAAAAAGGTGCAAAATATTCCCAATCAGCAAAGCAAATCGGGGTTTTTCGAATGTGAAGAATTTAATGGCGTTAAATCTGTGGCTGGGCTGATTTGATCTTTTTCTTTCTCTGGTTAGAGCTAAAAACAGAAGTGCTTGGTGAACCCACAGAGTTGTTTCTACTGTCGGCTGGTTGAGATGAAGCTGCTGAAGGTGGATGAACAGTTTCCCCCCTTAGAACGGCCGAACACTTTCTCTAAAAGACTTTCTCTAGGTCGGAGCTCATTTCTACACAACAGGGTTGAACCTCTACCTTCCACAGTCTGTCATAGTAGCTTTCTCTGGACCACATCTCCGACAGCAAGACAAAGACACACCGGGAGGGAAGCAGAAAGCAAAGAAAGACAGGGAAGGAAAACATAGGAAGGGAGAAAGGACAAAGAGAAGCAGACAAGACAGAGACACTGAAGACGAGACAGAAACTAGCTTCAAATGTTCAGACAGAAACGTACAGCATGTTGGTGAACATGCTACAAAATGAGAACTCAGAAGGTTGAATGTGCACTGAGCAGATTCACTTCTATGTCAAGGAGGTTTCTCTGGAAAACCCAGTTTAAAAACAGACAGACAGACAGACAGACAGACAGACAGACTAGAGGTCGATCCGACAGAATTTTTACACCAGAATCCGTTACTTTTTGGACACTTCTGGATAAATACCTGAATTTCAGAATAAAAGCCCAAATGGATAAATGGTTTTCACCTTCCGTGCTGCACCATCAAACATTAAAACTAACGGCAGCAGCAGATTACACTTGCACAGGTGTCATATTCTAGCAATGAAGATAAAATGATGCACGTTTGACATCTGTGCACCGACAGGCTATTACAGCTCCTTGGGTCTCATGTGGAGAACCTACAGAAAGCTAATCTGCAAACGTGTGAGCTTTGTGACAACGATGGTCAATCATTAAAAACGTATATCAGTTTCATCAAAGGGTCTCAGCGTATACTTTAGATGCACCCAAATGATTTCACCGGGACTTTTGGTGCAAAATATTATATTTTAAGCAAATCCGTTTTTTTGGTTTTTTTTGGAACTTTCCTTACAGATTATGTAAATGATCTTTAACTGGAATAAAGGTGCAGATTAATGTTTTTTTTCTTTTTTTCTGAGGTAGATTTGGGACTTAAAAAACAGTTAAATGGAGCTTGAGTTTGACTACATCCAATTTCAACATTTTAAAAAGGCTCCACAACATATTGGATTGTTTTCTTTTCTTTTTTCTTCTTTTCTTCCCCAAAAATAATAAACAGCATCAATTTAGCTTCATTTTTTTCAGTATTTAAAAAGACTGTGTGATTTAAAAATGACGTGATTTCAGGGGAAGCACATTTTGGACACACAGTAAATGTCTTTTAAATTAAGCCGTCATTGTAAGACACATTCTCCTGTTACAAACACGTAATGTGAAGGCATAACTTCATTAAAAACTTAAGCGAATGCTGCGTAGAGGCTCTGCTCGTAGAGGCAGTGGATTCTGACTGTTGCAGAAAGCATGTCAGACTCAGCTCGACTGTATTTGGGTTTCCATCACTGATTTCTCATCAGCACCACAACTGTAGCTGTATTTTTCAATTTTTATAGGGAACAATAGATTTTCAAAGGTTCAGTTCTTTCCATGAATTGAAAATGTTGCTGTTGGTGGTACTGAAGACAGGAGACTCAACTTTCATCCCAGAAACTGAGTGACCCACCAAAACTAGTTTGTATGAACAGTTTCACTACTGAGCAGAACCCAACAACAAATCACGGTGACAGAAAGTCAGCTGTCAGTATAAATGGACCTTTAAATTCCCTCTTTAGGTATTTATAGTAACGGTCTTAATCTAACACTTAACACATTCTTATAAATAGTACAGTTAAGCCTTAAATTATTCACATGCATGCTAGATTTAAATTCATAGTAGATTTACATTAGACCCATAGGTGTCTTCTGTCTGAAAATGTCCTTCACAGATTCTGGATGGACTCAGGACTGGACTCTGGCTGCTTCACTCCACAACGTTCATATTATTTGAACCATTTCTTGACCATTTTGGCTGAATGTTTCAGATCATAGTCTTGTTTGAAGGTCCCCAAGTTTTTCAGAGGTTTGTCTGATGCTGAATCCTTTTCTCGTGATGCCGTTTTCTTTGACATGACTGTGTGTCGTTCTCAACACCATGTTTGACTGCAGGGATGCTGGTGTTGAAGTTGAATGCTTTTCTTTTGCTAAACTAAAGTCCTGTCTCTGTGTCCAAACAACTCTATTTTTTGTCTCATCCGACCACAGAATTGATGATCACAAACTTGGATGGACGGAGTAGCAGCTGTATTTTCTCAACATCTAACATCAATGGACGTGCTAATTTTTGGTAAAAATGTGAAGCAAATGTAAAGTTTAACAAGTCTAACACAATGTCTTATATCAGTTTTTGTCACTTGTTTATGTCATTTCCAGCCAGAAGACAAAAAGAATTAGTATAAGACAGAATTTGCCATGGATCTGAATAATGTTGGACTCAACTGTAGCTCAAGGTGACAGAAAGTCAGCTGTCAGTACAAACAGACCTTTAAACTCCCTCTTTAGGTATTTATAGTAACTGTCTTAATCTAACACTTAACACATTCTTAAAAGCTTCAGTAGTTCATGCAAAAACGTGATATAATTAAAAACAGAATGCAAAGCCAAATTTGTATTCCAGTGACATTTAAAAGGTTTGAAAGATATATATATATATATATATATATTTGTCAGTTGTGGGTGTATTTGCTGTGTTTAAGCTCATGATGTGCTGTAACAGAAGTTCCATGTGTGCTAGATGAGTCAGACTGTTAGTCCGGAGGATTTAGGATTCATCACAGGCATCTGAACAGGACAGAAATAGGTGCAATAATCCGAGGACACTTTAAAACTATGCAAATGCATTCAGTCACAGAGGACGTTTCAACAGCAGGGATAAAGCATGCTACCAGGATACGAATAAACACAGTGATAGTGCAATCTGCAGTTACTGGGTTCGCAGGCAGAGTGTGAACAAAATCACGACAGTCAATTATGAATAATGGTTCAAATATTGGAGTTTAGTCATTAGAAGAAAACTGATCAAAAAATGTTGCAACTTCCTTATTTGAGTGTGTCGCTTTGGCTGTAAAAAATGAGGAGATAAAGTTCCACCAACATAACTTCTTCATAAAAACACAAAAAACACGAATATGTTCCCAAAATTTGAAATAATTACTGCAAATATTTACTGGATGATTTAAAAGTGACACTTATGGAAGAAAAGTGATGTGAGTGAAGCCAAGGAGAAGAAACACTGACCACAAATCAAGGAAATAAAACTTGAAAACATTATTTTCTCAAACATCTTATGAGCAAATTGTCCAATAATAAAACCTCTTCCACAGCAGTAAAGTTAATTTGCATGACTGATTTTTCTCTGTGCTGTTGAAAATTTTATTTTAGTACTAAAAGACGATTTAAGTAAAAAAAAAAAAAAGCTTGCCAAACAATACATAACAGTGATTTTCTGAACTGTGAATTTGATCGATTCCTATTTATCTTTTATGATTTGATGCTTTACGCAAAGAAAGATTTTTTTAGCAATGTTGACTTTTCCATTTTAACCCTTCCTGGATATTTATCAGAGGCTCTACAAACAGGAATTGCAACTTTTTTTGATATGAACACAGGTTAGTTGTTAGAAAGAAGCTTGGGTGCAGTTTTCACCACCTGCCTTCAGGGGTCGTTGAGAGGAGGAGATGGAGGAAGCTGTGTGGTTGGTTACAGGGAGGCTGGACTTGAGGGTGGGAGAGTTAGTGCAGGAGAGATTACAGGCTGGAGGTGAGGGGAGGACCAGGGGGGGTCTCCTACATGTCTGCCCAGCAGGCTGCAGGGTCTGGGCGGAAAAGTCAGGTCGCAGTGGGCTGCTGGGATTACTGGGATTACTGGGATCAGGGTGAAAGCCGGGCAACAGCAGGGCTTTAGGATTCGACTTGAACTGGATGTTTTGGAGGATGTGGGGACAAACGTTGGAGGGCAGAGGGCTGAGGGTCGGACTGGACTGGGAAAGGAGCGGAGAGACGTGGAAGTGGGAGCTGTTAGGAGGATTTGTGTTGTGGCTGCAGCTGTCTGAATCTGTACGAGGTGCAGAATAGATGTTAGTCTGAGCCTGAAGCAGCAGGGAGGGTGTGGATTCAGGATTCAGCTGAGACAAAGAGCTGTTGTAGTAGGTGATGTTTGGCAGAGGAGGATGATGACAGGGAGAGGAGGAAACGTGAAAATGTGCAGGTGGTGAGCAGAGCGGAGGAGTGGGCAGATGAGAATTTCCAGTGCAGAGGCAAAGCTGTGAGGCAAAGCGATGGTTTGGATGGCAGTGGTGATGATGAGGAGGAGAGGAAACTGAATCCATAGTGAAGGTGGGCTGCAGGGAGGGACGGAGGCTGGGCTGCAAACACAAAGACAGAGGTGGAGGAGGGACACGTAGAAATAAAAAAAAGGTTTTAGAGAAGGTAAAGACATGTAGTAGACAGATGGAGGAGACAGAAATATTAAGGACTGAATCTCAAAACATCCAGTGGATCAAATCTGAACCAGTAGTGTTGCTGCTTCCCAGAAGAAGGATTTGAATTCTTTTAGTTGTCAGTGAAAAGACACAAAAGCACAGCTTCTGAAACCTCAAACCCCACTGAGAGGTTCGAGAGGCATGTAGTGTTTTAAAACATGCAAAATTATACTCTTCATCATAGCAAGAAACAGGAAAAAAAGGTTGGATTTCCAACCTTCTGACGGTCCTTGATCTAATCATTGGTAATATTTACCAAATCAAAGTTTAAAATCATGATATTTAATTGTAATTATTTGTTCTACATGTTAAAATGTTCCCAAAATAACTGTTTTCTCCACAGTCCGTGAAAAACTAAAAATTGTGCTCCTTGACACAACCAAGAAGCTGTGACTGACTCAGCTGCTACCAACAGTCACGTGGCATAAATTCTGGGACTTTCTGGTTGAAGTGCAGGCAGTGTTTACAGAGACAAGCATTGAAACTAGAGAAATTTAGAGCAAAATCAAACACAATAACATAAAAAAAACTGCACACAGCGGAGCAAGATGTTGGAGGATACATTCAGCACGGTGAAACATCTTTCTACAGCCGTTTAAAATGTTTATGGCATTAGAAGTTTGTTGTGTTTTACTGCACCAAAGACATTTCTGAGCTGTTCCTCCTTCTTCATGGTTGTTCTGTTTACAAAGAGGTGCAGAACTTCATATTGCAGTGAAAAATCAAATGTGGCAGGAGCAAAAAAAACTTAACTGTTTGGTGTTCAGAGATTTAAAAAAACACATCTCTCACACTCATGAGCTCCTGTTCAAGACATTTGGCATCAGCTGTAACCAAAGGAGCAGTGAACAGATGCAAACAGCAGGGGCATCGGGGGCAGTAAGTGAGGGTGAAGCAGGCAGCAGCTGGGGCAACAAGAGGTCGAAGTGGGGGAGGAACAGTTCAAGAAGTTGTGTTATATTGGTTAAAACAGATTATTTCACATTTATGTGATGTTTATGGGAAGAAAAATGAGAAAAAAAAACAAAATAGAAGCGTTTTATTTACTGTGTTCCACTTTTTGTTAATTTTTAGCAGGATTTGGTGATTTGGACAGAGTGAAAAATGAAATAAAATAAAAATAAATACGTTTAATATATGTGCAAAAGCTGACAAAATGCTTGAAGTCATAAATATGACTTTCTTGTCACATTTTGTGGCCGTTTGCACACTTTTTGAGAGAATTTTGTGACGGGGATTTCTTCCCATAACATGAGACTCAGCTTGTAGAAAAGGAGGTTGAAAGAGCTCAAACCTTCTCACATCTGTTTGTCCTGACTTTAGCTATAATTTAACCAAACATGTTGCAAGGCTCCTGCAGAAACCTTGAGGAAACATATCAAGCAAGTTACCATTAACAATAAAGTAAACGCCGGCCACTTAGAAATGTGTTTACCACAGCAACGTGGACCGTAACAGGGTTTTTCCTGCCTCAGCATGGGAACAGCAGTAAGCATTAATGGTTTGTAAACAGTAGAGGTAAAGAATCTGTTGTATGACAGAAATCTGCTCCTGTGATTTAGAATATTTGACAAACAAAAATCATATTAACCTTGAGTAAATTCAATTTAAAAAAAATTTTTTTGATTTTGTTCCTAAAATTCTTTGGGACTCTTCTACAGTTTCTCTCAAAATGGTGGTAATTCTGTTTACTGTTGAGGTCACAGTGGACTGCATGATATTTAAAGTGTTCCTAATATTTATGTTAATACTACTAATAATAATAACTGAATGTTTGCTAAATGTAAAACAGTCTAGTGCAGCACCACCTTCACTCACTGACACCTCAACAGAAAGTCAAATCCCCCTGTTGCTGACAACAAGAAAACTGAAAATGCAAAAAAGTTTTGTGAAAGTAAAATTTATGGTGAGTGTATAACAATAAGTTAACATCAAAGAATATGCAAAGTTGCTTCAAAGCGTTGGACTTGCACTGATCAGGGCGTCTCACTGCAAACACACCAGGTTTTACACTCACTCACACAATCACACGCGTTGCAGTCGTGTCTTACTTTTGGTGGAGCTTCATCAGAGCCTCCAGAGTCCCATGAAACAGTGACCTGCCTCCTCATCTCCATCCGGTTCCTCTCCTTCTGCTGGACCTTCTCCTCCTCTAGGATAGTGCTGAAAGAAAAAACAAAAAACAAAAATGATTATTTCTGCTGTCATGCTCCCCAGTACTCCATGATGAACATCTACAGGGCTGCTGCTGTCCCAAGTTCTTGTAAAAACACACAAATGAACCCAAAATGTACTTAAACTGTAATGCCTTCATTTGTGTTTTACTTGTGTTTAATTAGAACGTTCAACGATCATCCCTCAGTGTTGACAGACTATTAATGGCGACGAGACAGGGCTGCATCAGAGCCAAAGTGGTGCACTTTCAAATGAATTTACTCTAGCAGGAACTGGTTTGAAAAAGAATAACAGAAGTTGAATATTGGCTCCAATAATTGGCCGATAATCAGTCGCCTCTACAGTATAATATGATTATAAAAATGATTTGTTTTCCAGCATGTCCAGGTATGAAGTGAATGAACAGTTTCTCTCTCTCTGCTGACATTAGAAGAAGTGTGAAAGTGTGGATAATCCTGAAAAATATAATTTAACAAAGTTTAAAAAAAAGCCAGAGGACTCCACTTTTTATAACAACATAGCAACCACCTGACTCACGCTGCTACAGAAACCATAAGCTTGCTTTTTTACTTTTACCTCTACAGGTAGACGGTTATGAACGCACAACACTTTTTTTCTTCTTTTTCTTTTTTTTTTTACAAGCAAACAGCCTGCCTAATTGGTTTTCTGCCTCCTGCTGTAAATATGAAAACTCACTGAGAGTCCCATTAAAACACACACTGCTCTCTGAGTTTCATTACAGTGTGCTGCTGAAGCTCCTGCATAATGAGCGCTCCTCACACACAAACAAACGACTGCAGTTTGAAGAGAATCCAATTCCATTTTGTTTTGAAATGTCTCACTGACGCCTATTCTTCTTCTTCCCTGCACACTCAAATAAAACCTGATAACATTCAGTGAACAACAGCTGCAGTAATGAAGCAATTTGAGCTTCGGCAACTTGAAAAACAAAAACCGGTACTTTCCGTCTACATTGCAGAAGGATGTTGTTGCTTTAATTTGAATACTTTTGTTTTTGAAAATACCAAATTTGCTCCAAAGTGTCCTGGTTGTGTTTTTAACTTTACACAGTGATACCATTTTTTTTTTTTTTTTTTTGCTGAGGTTGCAGACAAACTCTCACAGCAGCTAAAGCAGTTAATCTTTGGGTAATATTGCTTCACAACACACTGAATCATTTAAAGATTAAGCAACATCCCACACCCCAAACCCGACATTTTTAGGTCCTGTGTAGACGAATACACCGCACTGAATTTACTCGCTGAAATTACTCACACTGACGTTGTTGCTGGAAAAAAAAACTGCTGCGAAACCGAACCTTGAATCCCAGAAACTGCTTCTGGTTCCACAAAACAGAAAACCGAACTGTCCAACAATCCTCCTTCTACTCGCCTTCACTCAGCGGGATCTATTTGTGGAAACGTCATCAGCCTGCTGTTCTGTTGTCTCCTGCTGAGTGTTTGTGTGTCTCTGCAGCTGTCAGAGTCCGTCCAGACTTCTTTTCCATCACAACACACAGCAACACTCGTCTACGCAACAATATCAACACAGTGAAACCAAACTACGACACGCAACAGTGACGCAAACATCAGTAACGTCATTATTCATTAATAAAATGTATAAAATAAATCTTTGTAGCTGATCCCTTGTTTGTATTTTACTCACTTCAACACTAAGGCTTCAGCTAATAATTACTTACATTGTCAATTAGGCTTTGGTTATTTTCTTAATTAATTGATAATTTTTTTGTTTTACAAAATGGAGGAAAATGCCACTCAGTTTTTCCCGAGGCACAAGATGACATCTTTCAATTTCTTACATTGTCGACAACAACCATCTTGATAAAAACAATTTGAAGATTAAAATGAAATAATCAGTTTTAGACATTTATTGCTTTATTAGTTCAGAAACATAATTTTGCCCTTTCTCCTATTTTTTTTAGCCATTTGTCAGACAGCATTTTATATTTACTAACTAATTTCAGTGTCAGTTAATCTTCTGATTATTTTCTCAATCAATTAATTAATTGTTTGGTCTATAAAATGTCAGAAAATAGAGAAAAATGCCACTCAGCCTTTCCCAAAGCCTAAGATGATGTCCTCAAATTTCTGATTTTGTCCACAACCCACAAATATTCAGGTTTTTCTTTTAGGAGAAAAGAAACCAGAAAATATTCAAATTTAAGGGGACTGGAATCAGAGAATTTTGACCTTTTGTTCTTAAAAAAACAACAACAATCAGTTTATTAGAAACTCAACTGTAACTAAGCGGAAAATTATTCATACCAATGTCAAACCTTGAATTATAATGAATTTATATTTGACTAAGAGCTTTCTTTTGTCTGAAAATGACCTAAATAAGTGACAAAAAATGACAAGACAGTGTATTCATGTGCTAATAATAAATGTAAACCATGTTTATATTTTTTATGCCAAAAAAAAATCATGTCCCTTAAAATTGTCATCTATTTTTGAGAGAACACAGCTCCTGTACCGTCCAAAATGGTCCTTTTTTTCATTTTGTACAGCATTTTAATTTGGTGATAATTTATAACGAATCTATTTGAAATGTACAATTTTATTAAAATGATATTTGACAAATAGCTTTTTTTTTTAAATGACATAAACAAGTAAAAAAGTGTTTATACATTGTTTTTTTTCCACGTTTACTCAAATTGACATGTCCAAAAATATTGAAATTAGAAACAATTTTACAATCATACAGCTTCTACTACAAACTGTCCCAGTAATTTGAACAGTGTTTCAGATTGTTTTAATACACTATATATGAAGTCTAGCTGAATGAACAAACTGATTTTTTATCTGAGCATACATTCTTCTTCTCTTAGTTTCTACCAGCACAACCACACATTTAATACGCCAGTTCATTAGAAACTCAGCTGTAAGGAGTCATCAGTCAACCTGCCAGTCTTGCCTCATAGTGTAACAGTAAATGACATCACGTATGAATATGTGTGATACTGTCAGCACCTGACACTCCTCCTCCTTCACCTCCACCTGGAATAACAAAGCCTCCTCAGTTTATTTACTCAGGGTGACTGACTGAACAGTCTGAAGCTTCTCAGCGACGCCCTGCTTTCCTCTCACATAGTTTCTCACCTGAGAGCTGCACAGCTAGACAACAACTCAGGTACATATCAGGGTTTAAGAAGTTAGCTATCATATCCTATCCCACTTAGATTAATGGCAGCGTTCTGGAAGGATAAATAATATAGGTTTAGGATTACATGAGTGTCAGAAACATTCAAAACTTAATACAGAGCCGAAGAGCAAGAAAAAGAAAGTTCTCTTTCAAAAAAAAAAAATCTAAATCTCGTCTTATTTTTTAAGTAAATGGCAAAAAAACAAGCCCTTAGAAGCAACAAAAGTCTACACAGTCTCTATGATCGAAGAAGACGCCTGAAAAACAACCAATGTAAGAGACAAGAAAAGGCAGCCTGCTCTGAACTTCACACTCAAAGGTGCAGCAGAACATTTAGAGAAGTCTAACAAGGCATGTTGCAGAGATCATACCTTACCTTAAAAAGGGCCAATCCAGCAGCAACCTTTAGGAGAACAAAGCACCCACTACAATGATGCACTCTGCGCTGAAATGCAAATTTTGACCAAAGGTCAAACGAACAACTGTGAAGCACACCAGCAGCGCTAAATAGATGAAGTCACGCTGACATGAATTAACTCTGAATGAATCAAACCTCAGCAGACTGTCAGGATAAACTGAGCTTCAGCAGCCTCGTTGGGCTTCCACCATCTGAATACGGCGCTACAGTGCTTCTGCTGGCTTTTCCCTTCCTTCTTTCATTCTCTCCCTGAGTTCTTTGGAAAGCTGCAGCTCTTGGCAGCTGCCCACTGTGTAAACACACACTCATGTTGGTCCACCGTCTAGGAAAACTGTAGTAGGAGCTGAGAGCTGCATATTTGGCAGCACAGACCTATAATTGATATTATGATACAAAAGCCAGCCAGACCCAAAGTAAACCAAACCGTACAACCTTATATGGCTTCATTTTCTCCTATTAATAGGCCGAAACCTCAGCGAACATGGTCAATATTGACTCGGTATCCAAGACACTGGAGGAGGCACATCGAGGGTTCCTCAGCTCTCCGTCACGCCAACATATAATGTAGTCAATTTAAATAAATGCTCTTAGCACTCAAACGCACATGTAGTCTTCCACACTTTGTTTTACTCACGGCAGTAAAACCACAACCACAAGCATGTGTCAGACTAATGAGCAGACCTCCATGATGTGAAGGCCAAACATGAAGATCAGGAGGACAATTTGAAAAGGTGAAAAAGGTCAGGAAAAACAAAAAGAAGCTCAGAAAGGGAAGCTGGAAAAGCAGCGAAGGAAAACGGAGTAGAATTATCGGGAGAAACAGGAACGCTGACACAGAGAACTGGAGGTGGAATTTCAGGTGTGAGTCATGCTGGTTTTAAGCAAAACTCGTAAAACCACAGGAGTTAAATATGTGCTCTTATTTTCCTGTTTCTGTGTTCAAGGAAACAATGATGGCATCTTCCTGCACTGCTGCTGTTCTGCTTCCATGCATGAAGATGCTTCGCACCACAGTGATGTGACTTAAAATGTAAATGTCATCTAGTTTCACAACATGAAAACATACAGCTCAGCCAAAAATTATTCATACTCGTATCAAATGTTGATCTATAATGAATTTAGATTTAGCTAACAGCATTTCTTCGGCTTAAAATGAAATAAATAAGTGACAAAAGATGTTTCAAAATAATTGTTTAAAATGTGTGTAATAATACAATTTAACGATTTCTGTCATTTTTGAAATTTAGACTGAAATGAGCATGTCCAAAATTACTCATGAAATTAGCATCATTTTGTGAGAAAATGCAACTTCTATAACATTTTAAATCGTTTGAGTAATTTGTACGATATTTTAGAGCATGCTAATACACTATGAAAAATGTTAAAATAGTTGAAAACCATCACGAACATCTCCAACACTGTCATACTGTCTGCTGTTGCTTATTTTGGTCATTTCCAGCCAGAAGAAACGTACTGGTCAAATAAAAGTTCACTCAAAATGGAAATGTATGAATAATTTGGGGCTTAACTCTAACAGTGGAAATATCTCATTTAAACTCTTCATGAAATATTACGGTCATCTTATGTGCAGTAGAGGGCCTGTCTGTGCTTTTACAGACATAACAAATGTAAATGAGCAGCTCTGATTTACATTTAAGCTTCTAACATGCAGATGCTTAAAACAGGCAAAACAAGAATCTTTTCATCTGCACTCAATCTGCAGCACGTTTTGTAGCCAGAATTTAAATTAATTTGTCAAAATTCACAGGAATGCTGCTATCAAATAATAAAGAATTAAAATAAATGTCACTGGAAGGAGACCTAATACACGCCAAGCCACTGTATGTACTTAAATGAATGTGCCAATCAAGTGAAGCTTTATCAGGTTTCAGTTTTTTCATCTGAAACTTTAACTCCAGTGTTTTTTTCATTTCCCAACAGGGGAAAAGCTGAAACCTCACTTCCAAAAAACTGCAGGTCTGTTCTTGTCTTGGTGATGATGAACTGTTGAGTAATGGTGTCTGGGAAAAGCGCTTACTGGACCTCTACAGCCAAAATATTACTTTACCCACTTTAGTTTTGCAGGTTGTCAGAGGAAAGGTCTTGGATTTAAGCAAACACTGTTTGTCTGTTACCGAGAGCAGAGCAGGAGTTCTTATTTTAGTATTATAGTACTTAGATGTACTGTATTTTAAACAGCGAAATTCAACTTTTATGTGTTTTTCTGCATGTGTGCTGGAACTTTAGCTGTTGACCTCCATTGATTAGCATGAATTATAAACATGCTCGGCTGAGATAAATCCCACAGCATGTCAGGCTTATAGAGTCAGTCTCTTTGTTTGCTTACACCTGATGATTCACACAAATGTTTTTCAGATTTACAGTAAAACATTTTGTTTAGTTTTGCCTGAGTTGCTCAACCTGAAAGTGTAGCTTTCCTGTTATTAGTAAGATGATATTTGACTCATATGGCGGTTCCTGCACCAGCAGCGACGTTTATCTGATCACAACACGCCCGGATACTCAGTCCTGATGGAAAAGTTGGTAACAATCAACTATGCATCATTTAACAAGGAGGTGAGGCGTGATTCCTCATTTATCTCCGTCATCATTGCATCTCTGTTACTCTGACAACCACAGTGTCATCAGCCCAAACAGGAAGTACGGTCTGTGGAGTATTTAGACACTTTTGTTTGGGCTCCTGCACTTTGGATAAATGCATCCAAACACTGGCCGCCCAGTATGGATGAGAAAACTGCTTTAAACCTTAAGCTGACAAAGCAAACCTGGAAAAACTTAAACGTTATCTACAGATCAAACTTTCCACGAATCCGTCTTAATTCAGTATGCACACTTCCACAATGTAAAGCTACGTTTTAATTAAGCCAGACAACATTGATCCAGTTTGTTGCTGGTTCCTGGTTCCCTGTCTCTTTTCTGTTTGTCTGACCTGTTAATATATCTTCAATGTCTTGAACCACCAGGCAACAAAAAAAAAGCTTTTTGTTTGTTTCACTCTCTGAGAAATTACTGAGATGAATACTGACAGAGAGCGACACCTGCTGTTTGGTGTAAGAAAATCAGGAAACTGTTCCTTTAGCTAAACAAGAGAAGCATACATTGGGATTAACAGTAATCCTGCAAGACTTCCACAATGTGTATGTTGTTTAGTGTATTCTGAGACTAGAATCAATGTTATGCATTAAAATGAGGTGGGCTGTGTTATAGGGATGAGTTATTGGATAAATTTCTACCTATAAAAACCTCACATAATTAAGAAGTTACTGGATTAGGAGGTTGTTTTTTTTTTTACTCACAATATACCATGACAGCCAAAATCCAAAGAGCTTATGCTTCTTTCCTTAAGTAAAAATATATAGTAATGATAATTTTACCTTTATGAAGGTTTATTTAAACATTTCAGACACACACACACACACAGTCAAATCACACTCTATTAAATACCTTAGTTGCGTTTTCAGTTCGGTAAATCGCGGCCTCTTGCTGGGATCGTACGACCAACACTTGGTCATCAGGCTGTACAGAGTCGGGGGACACTGAGGCGGCATTGCCAGGCGCTCGCCGTTCTCTATCCGGCCAATCACGTCGTTGTTCTTCACACCCTGGAAAGGCTTGATGCCGTACATCAGAATCTCCCACATGCAGACGCCTTTGAAAGACACATGGCGGAAAATTTTATTAGAATAATCAGCCAAAAGGCACCATGTGAAGATAAAACAGAGACGGACTTGGAATGAAATCTACTGAAATGAACTGAAACGAACTGAGGAAAAAAAGAAAACAACACAGGTTGAAACTCACCAAACATCCAGACGTCGCTGGCTGTTGTGAACCGTCTGAAGTTGATGGATTCTGGAGCCATCCATTTGATAGGTAGTTTGCCTTTAGATGCTGGAATGAAGAAAACTGATTAGTTCTGTTCATATGAATCCTAGGAATAATAATGGAGCTTTAAAATGAGTGTGCATTCATCACTGAGCTACCTTTATAATAGGAGCTATCTTCCATGTATCGTGACAGACCAAAGTCTCCCAACTTCACACAGTCGACTGTAGACACCAACACATTCCTGGCTGCGATGTCCCTGCAGAGGACAGAACAGAATCAGAGTTCAGTTTTCCCCAGATCAGGATTTGTTTTGATTTACAACAGAACACTGAAGTTCTACTATATATCTCCCTCCAACAGGTGGCAGCACCGGGTTCTTGTAATTTGCCAATAAACAATATTCTTTCAAATCTGACTGTCATTATGAACATTTAAGTAGAAATAATACTTATTTGGTGAACAGTAAAACATATCTGTCATATTATGGGGCTGAAGCCACTTCGCTAGTTTCAGTACCTGTGTACAAAGCGTTTGCTTTCCAAATAGGCCAGAGCCGTGCTGAGCTGATAAGAGTACAGGATGAGGGTTGCCAGGTCCAGACTGTATTTCCTCACCTGGAGAAATGACCGTAACTATGGAGGGAAGAATGACAAAAACACAGACACAAATATGAGAGAGCAACAACTTTCAAACCTATTTGTTTTCTACAGGCATTCTCTCATCAGCAGTGTTTTCAGGCTCCTCCTGGAGGATCCTGAGGTGTTTCCAGGCAAGATGAGATATGTAAAACCTCCAGTGAGTTTGGGTCTCCTCCTGGAAAACCTCCAAAGTGGGGCACCGAGGAGGCTTCCTAATCAGTAGCCTGAACCCCCTCAGTTTGATGATTTGGAGTTGAATCTACTCTGAGCTCCCTACGGATGCCTGAACTCCTCACCTGACCTCTGAGACTGAACTCAGCCAACCTACAGAAGAAACTCAGCTGCGATCCGTAACCTTGTTCTTTCAGTTGCTACCCAGAGCTCATTAATCATAGGTGCGAGGTGTAATGTAGATTGTCTGGTAAATCGAGAGCGCCGCCTTCCCCATTTAGCTCCATCCTCACTAAGACAGTCCAGTACTCCCAATGTTACACCAATTTGTCCATCCATTTTACACTCCATTTGTCCATCAGCGAAATTCAGAGATACTGGATCTCCATTGCTTGGGGCAGCAACTCCCCCCAACCCTGAGGAAGCAATCCACCAGTTTCCAGCAGAGAATCATGTCCTCAGACTTGGAGATAGTTACTCTTGTCTAAAGCCAACAGAACCACATCATCTGCAAAAAGCAGAGACGAGACCCAAAATAGATGCCCTCTTCGCCCAGTTTCTGTCTGCGAACATCATGACCATGAGCGGCAACTCTGGTGGAGTCTAACACCCACAGGAAACATGTTTGACTTTGTGCCGAGAAAACAATCAGAACTCTGACTTTAGTTGTACAAGAAAACACACGTGGACTGGAGCAATAATTCTGACCATAAAAAACATAGATAAAGACAGATAAACGGTACCAAACGGTGAGAACAACTATATTTAAAGTCACATATTTGTCTTGTGACACTTCCTGTCTACAGATTTACTTTTTCATTCTACATGTTAGCGTCTTTTTCGTGTAGATCCAAATCAAACACAGAGACTATTATTTATTGTTAAAGCTAGGGAGAAACTGGATTATGAAAGTTTCAAATCTGTTTTTCATTTGATTAATTCTGATGATGCAAATTGAACAAAGACAATCTTTTTAACATCTATATAAACCAACATCCAACAGCCTCTAATGCAAACTGAATATATGAAATCAGCATCCTACCTCTCCCAGAGTGCAGAGCTCCATGATGATCCACACTGGATTCTCAGTGATAACTCCCATCAGCTTCACAATATGAGGATGGTCAAACTGACGCATGGTCACTGCAGGGAGGAGAAAACATACGCAAACAGCACACACGAGTTATATTTACAACTGAAGCTATTCCTCTGCAGAAAATGAGCAATTACTGCAATTACTAAACACTGAAGGAACTTACATGCTTCCTGGAGGAACTTTTCCCTGACGCTGTCAGACGTTGAGTTTTTACACGTCTTTACTGCCACAGACAGAGCTGGATTGTCCTGTAAGTGATAAGTACACCCAAGAAAAATGAGCAGCAGCATTTCAACATGCAACATATTCACTGTCTGCTTGCAACTCAAAAGAAGAGGAGGAAAAGTCACACTATTAGGATAATCTAAAATCAAGTCAGATTAAAATATCCTGAGAATACTATACATTAATGTGATCTCCTAGTGAATTTAAATTTTAAGAATTGCTAATGAATCATAGCTATTGTGTAGAAAGCCCATGAGTGTGAACGACCACAAAGACTCTGCACAAACTACACATTCATAAGGTCAGGAGAAGCTTTTTTGACTTAAAATCTGACATCAAAATCCACCTTTTGCTATCTACCGAAATGTTTGATAAATTTGATTGGAACTCCTTACAGGCAAAGGAGGCTCTACAGTGAACAAAAAAAAAACAAACAAAGTTATTCAGATCTAAGGCTACTGTGAGTCAACACAGAGATCCAGAGTGCAAAAAAAAAAAAAGCACAGATAGGTAAGTTTACTTAATTTCAGCTCAGGTCAATCAAACATTCAAACACTCAAAAATATTTCACTTGTTTCAGACTACTTTGTGGTCACACAGCCGTCTTACTGAGTGGAGACTAGAGGCTGCTCCGTGCACAGCTGCACTGATACATGAGGTGTTTGGGAAACATCACTAATTGTAGCATCTAGTTTACATATAAGGCTTTTAGATGACACCTGTAAATTTTAACTATAGAAAAAGTTTGGATTATATTCTTCCACTCTAAACTCTAAGTCTTTGCATTCAAATCCACAACTGACAACTCAAAGTAGTTTACCATTCTGGTGTAAAAAAAGATATGAAAACATTTATTGCATAGACTGTGGCAAATGCATGGATGGAAAGGATGCTTTTGATCTTGAAAAACTGAGGGATTGAACTGAATCATTAAAAAAAGCACAATGCCTCAAGAGCAACCTTCATCCCCACAGCTGTTCGGTACCAGGATGCAGGAAACCAAAGGAATCAGAAATAACAACAAAACCAAACACTGCTTATATTATAGCCCAATAGACGAGCTACATTTGACTAACTCCACTAAGAGCCAGATCATCCTTATGAAAAAGAACAGGAGAAATGTACAAAATGATTATCGGCACCTTTGTCCTGTTTAAAGTCATATTCATAACATGTTAGGAAATCATCAATGTGAATGTGAATTGGGAGCACCTCAATTATGTTCTAGTGCACCAAAATGTAAAATGTTGGGATGAATCAGTGCAACTAAAGAAAAGAGTTAAATTTGGAGCCTTACGACAGCTGCAGATAAGAAAGGCTATTGCCACTATTCAAAGATTTTGTATTTCATTCAATAAGGCCCCAATGCACACTGACAACACTGGACAGTCTGACACAATTTAGTAATGGTCATCTATAGACAGAGAGTAACAAAAATAACTGCTACACGTACCGGACTGATGTAGACTCCCTGGTGGACGTCTCCAAACTGACCCTCGCCGATGCAGCGGCCGAGCTCGATACGATCCCGCTGAATCTCATAGTCCCGTGCTGGATGCACAACACACATAAGACGTGAACACACACACAGATACAGACACACAAATGAACAGAGCAGACGTTCAGATCAAACACACACACACGCGCTGTAGCTTCCAAGCTTGTCAGAGCACTTTACACCATTCCTGTGTCTAATTCTGCCTTTAAATGAAGAAAACTGCAGAAAATGTCCTTTCAACTAAATATGACACAGTTCATTTCCCCACAAAGTTCCAACAAACTAAATAAAGCCATGTGTGACGCTACTGTATTTTAAGTGTCCTGACCTTCTGCTCTGACAAGCTTGGTTTTATAGCAATAAACAGAGCTCACTGTCAACCACATGCAACAACAGCATCAGCAAACCACAGCGACACATGCCATGTAACACAGGCAACTACAGCCACTAACACTCAGTGTAGAGATGAACATGAAACTATGTTAATTCAAATGGAATATGGATAAAGTCAGGTGGACTGTATAATAGAGAAACTCACAGGCTAACATAAGACCCATTTCTTGGTCCAAAACAAATCTGTAAGTTAGTAAATGTTCTTTTAGGTTTTTTTTGTGTTAGTAAAAATAAAAAATTGTATTGTTTGTTTTGAGGAAAACAGAAATCAGATGGTCTGTGAAACGTACGGCTGCTGAAAGCTGGTGGTTTGCTCTGCCTGACACTGCTGACCTGACTTTGTCCATGTAATAAGCATGTGAACATAACATACATGGAGCTACAAATGTCAGTTTACAGAAGTCTCTTTTGTAAAAATAACTGCGATCCAAATGCCCACATGTGCGACTTTTAGAGACAATGATGTAAAAAGCCGGTCTAACTAAAAATGTACAGCACACTTGGCCATAATTATTGCCTCTAAATGTCGCCCATGTAGCCTGTAGCTTTGGAAATAAAATCCAGCGTTGTGGTTAAAAAAAAAAAAAAAATGAAGTACACCGTTTGTTAGTGGTTTGGGTTTAAAATGTCACAATATACTCATGTGTGCATCTATTTAAAACTCCCCTCTCACTGCACTTCCTCCTCGAGGTCAGGGTGGTAAAAAGGAACAGAGTCAACCTGCCTGGTTAAACTATACGGACCTGCTACTCTGAGCAGTAAATAGGTTTTCACAGCTGCTTGTATCATTATTATTGATTACAAATAAATAAATAAATAAATTCACCGAAAATAATTTGTTCCAGCTTTTGTTTATTGTCTGAAACATGTGAAAACCACACAGGACAGGAGTCCGACAGCTGGGACTCGGCTGAAGCTACCACCAGTTTATCACATGACACATCCACAGAGGAGGGGGGGAGGTCAAATCAACAGGGTACAGAAATAAAGTCTGAATTTAAGCAAAGCAAACGTAAAAAAGGGTCACAACAACCACCAAATCAAAGTGCCATCACAGTACAACCAGAGTTATGGGGACGTTCCAGTCTTTACCTTGGTCTAGTCCATAGTATTCTGGGAAAATGGATTAGTGATAAGAGACAGAAATAACTAGCTGTGAGTACAGAGGGTTATAAACTGTTACTGCGTCTGTATTAATTATGTCAGGGTTAATTGTGTAACTGTGAGTGTGACAGTGATGCAGATGGGTTAGGAGTACTGTATGTCCGCCAGGCACCAATTTATTCCTACACATGTCAGATTGTGATTTGTAGTGAGCTTTTATTTAAGCAACAGGTTTCTTCTGGCTGGAAATAACAAACAAGACACAAAAACACGGTCAGACACTGAGTTAGAGATGCTAATGATGAATTTCTAAACCAAACTAACATTCCTGTCAGTGCAGGGCTTCCTACCACGACCTTTGGGGTTATTCACAGTGTGGATCTCCTTTAATATTCGATTTTGCTTTGCACTGTGGCCACTGGACCTTGAAAACATTTGGATATGACTTTATAGCCTTTACACGTCTTGTGAGCAGTCAAAGTGTGAAAGTCTCTCTTAGTAATAAACCCTGACAAGTAACTGACTGTAGAACCACTGAGTCAGCAGTTCCAAATGTATAGTGCATGAAAACATTAAAACGCTCCAGAACATCATAGAAATTACCAGGATGATCTGAAATGATACAGAAGCTGCATTTCCTCAAAAATGGGATGAATAATTTTGGACATGCCAATTTTAGTAAAAAGACAAAAAATAACACTTTCTCACTTATTTATGTCCTTTTTTATTTTTCAAAAATCCAGAACAAAGCTATTAGTCAAATATAAAATGAAGTACAATTATGAATTTCAAATATTAACTTATTAAAAATCATCATCAAAATGCTAAAAAAAAAATACCAGGACTTCAAAGAAATTCAAAGAGTATAGATAATTTGTAGCCTAACTGTATGTTTTAGATGAGATGTATATCGCTTTGGATAAAAGTGTCTGCTAAATGAAATTGTAGAATTGTAGAAATGGCTAAATATGAATAATCAAACTCTCTAACACCATGTCTTACTGTAACCTGTCACTTGTTTATCTCATTTCCAGCCACAACAAACCTCCTGGTCAATTAAACTCTCACTATAACTCAATATTTGGCACGAGTGTGAATAATCTTAGGCTTAATTACAAGGAAATGTTTGATGTTACATCAAGTCTTTTAGTGTGTTTTGTTAGAAGGTTTATCAAAGTCTTGTGAATACAGAAGAAAGCAACACACAACACTGGTTATTACTGGCCAGTTTAGACTGATGTGTTCTATAATGCAAACACAAGTTAAACACCAAATAACAGCTTGGAAACCTGCTTTTAACACAACAGTCACTGATGCACTGAAATTGCTTCGTCCCGACATGAACAGCTGAACTCAGGACATTTCTAGATTTCTAAATCAGTCATTGCTTCTCTGAGACCTCTGATGTTCAACAGACTAGTAAAAAGCACGGGTACAGTAATGATTTATACTAGTAATTTATTGACTCTGTGTGTTTCTTAGTGTGTTCAAGTAAAAGCTATAATTTATGAATGGTCAGAAAGCAAAGCCATGTTGGGATTCTGTTGCATGGAAAATGTGGAGAATGTGTTTATGACACCAGGCAACATTCTTTGGCAGTTTAAACGGGTCATTTAGTGAAAAACTCTCACTTTCCTTTTTCCCACTCTTTGTTAGAGTGATATCACCCATCTGCACTGCCTCTCAATGTTGCCTCTGTAGCATCACCACTTTAGCACTGCAGTGAGCTTCATGTGAAAAACAGCCGTAACACCTGGTGAGCAGGAACTACAGCAGCAGCACAGCAGGCCGGATTCATGTTCAAACTAATGTTCTAGGCAATAATGCTGAGGGATGTTCAACTCATATATATGACACATAAAGGCCAGACTAATGGGAGGCCTAATACTGAAAATATGAACACACTGAACACTGAAGTAGGAGTGATCAGCAGGAATCAGTGTCAAAAGAAAGAGGAAGGCAACTCTCCAGAATAAATATAGCCTGTAGATGTAATAATACACACGGTATGTGGTTAAGTGGCTTCCCCTTTTTCAGTACGATTACTGCATGTGACCATGGAAAATGGAGATTCATTCAAAGATTGGTCACGCTTTTATTCGCCCGTCTAAAAAGCTGAACTGATTAAATAAGCAAATAAATGGTAATCATGCCACGTAATTAGCAGATGCTATTCTGACTTTATATCAACAACTGGCAAGTAAAACATTTTCAAATGGTTCATCTGAAGTTGTGGAAAAGTCTTCAAGATAAGATGCAGAGTTCTGCATAAATGTTTTCTAAAAAGGTCTCACACATGACTTCAACCTTCTTTAATAAGACCATCTAGTATCTGCTGCTTACACAGAATCACCAACTCTAACATACACCTAAACATTAGAAATAGTAACAAGAAAAGCAAGATTGGAGTCTAATATTTATAAAATTGAGTTACTAAGAAAAAAGTCTTATCTGTCCGATCTCAATCCAATTAAACTGCAACTACACAAAGGTCATCTACAGTACCAACACAACACACTCTTGTCTTCTATAGCTGATTAATCTGTTGATTATTTTCTTGACTAATCAATTAGTTTTAATCTAAAAAATATCAGAAAAAGGGGAAAAATATCAATCAGTGTTTCCTAAGCCCAAGCCAACGTCCTCAAACATCTTGTTTTGTCCACAACTCAAAAAATATTCAGTTTACTTACATCGAGGACTCAAGAAACAGGAAAATATTGGAAGGTGGAATCGGACAATTTAGACCTCAAAATAGATGGCAAATAATTCTGCCGAGGTCCTCTGATAAACAAAGATGCCTGCAGACACTTGTCACGTTAGCTGCTAGATATATTTGTGCTGTTTGTACTTACTTGAAGGCATCGTGTAGGTGTCCTCCTCATCTATGATCTCAGCATAGTCGTCTGTTTCTGCAGAGCCAGAGTGGAGACAGGAGGGAAAAGAGTCAAAAAAAACGATAAATCTCCACCTTAAGGGCTACTTTAATGACATGGAAGCCAAAAGTTGCATTAAAACAACAAAATGCTTTGTAGCAGCAACAATAAAACTGCAATTAAACCCCATGTTTCATATAAATCCAAATCATTTCAATCAACTTCAGTGAAAACTCCTTCAAAGAGACAAAGAGGTCAAACTGCAGCAGTAACAGAAACAAACCATGATCAGACAGAAGTACCTTTAAAAAACACCGTCACCATACCCGACTCCAAACACATGCACAACAATAAAGTGTAGCACAGAATAGCTGTGGCCTGAGACTGAAGTGTACAATAGAGAGGAAGACAGAAAGAGAGCAGAGGAAAGGGGAGGGATGGAAAGGTTGATCCTTTCCAGAGAAACAAGCTGAAGAAAAACAGGCTGAGTCATGGATAACACCAGAAAACAGATACAGAGATACTGCACACACGCATCCAGAGAGCAGGAGTCTCACTGTGTTAGATATTAAGACGTTTAATAGAAAGAATGTTGTTTACCATCGCCGCTAATGTGACCTGCAGAAGCCACATGCAGCATGAAACACAACCACAGAGGAGAATAAGCATTAGTTTAACTGTTAAAAAGATAAGAACGGGTGTTATTTAATGCCTCGACGCTACATTAAAGGGAGTTTTCATGTCAGTTTGCGTGAGTCAGCCAGAGACAGAGCGACAGTGACTAAGCCTCTCCAGCAGGACATCTGGCCAGACGAGGACTCTTCACTGCACACAGATGAGGCTTTATAGAGGAAACAGGCTGCGCACATCTATGAAGCCTTTATCTGACTGTGAGCAGCCACTGTCAGCCAGGACATTTACAACAGAGGACAGAGAGATTCATACCTGAGACACAAACGGCTCGGGTTCGTACTCCGTCCATCCGCTTTTCCATCCGCTTCTCATGATTTGAAACTCTGCATTGGAGAAGAAGAAATCATTTATTAAACCAGTGTGTTCAGCTTCTATCTGCAGCTAAGACTGTGGATGTGCAGGATCCTCCCACATCCTGTCATGTGTGCTGCTTCACATTGTCAAACACAAAACTACCAACCTAAATGAGCATCTACGAACTATATGAGTAACTCTTTACATTTTTCATCAAGATCAAGATTTTGGATTTTAACTGCAGAAGATAAAGGTTCATTCAAAACAAAATGTTCAAAATGAGTAAAAAACACACAAAAAAAAAACAGGATGTGGAGGATGTTCTCTTATTCATCACTAGACGTTTGATCACACTGGCATGTGTTAACAGTCAAACACCACCTTGTTTTCACTTCATATGGCCCTTAATGAGTGTAAATGAAATTGGTAGACTTACTTTGGTATAGAAGGAAGAGCTCTGTCTCCCTCTGCAGAGACAAAATGAACACATGAATTTGACACAGAGCTTCATGTTAGAGCCACAACATTAGCGCTGCCATTTCTTTGCACCCACAGATATTTTTAGAAAAGACCAGACAGACACAGGCTGGTTATTCACAGTGACAGACATAAAGCCTCACAGCCACAGTCACAACTGACAGCAGTTTCAGCCTCAAGCAGAATCTACAGGGTTATTTCTTTGCTTAAAGTTACAATCATTGTGCACAACCAAAAGATCCTTCAATATCAAACTGTGGTTGTAAAGTGAACAGAAACCACCACAATATGGTATCAGCTATGCGTCTTACCTTTGTGGACTCTGACGATGAACGAGTGAGAAGCTGAGGAGACGAGCCGGCAGTAGCCGTCAATCAAGTCGGCCATGTTTTCTGCTGTGGTCAGCGACGCTGTAGTGACAGTGAGGGGCTGCAGACAGAAGGATTAGTGTCAGAGTGGACAGAGGGCTGCTTCACAGTGACACAATGAGAGCTTTATTAGCACTAACGTCTACTACAGAGCATGCACATCCCTGCACGTTACTGCAGCACTGATGCGCACAAACACTTTTGGTGCTGACCTGCTGCAAACACACTCTGACGCTCAAGTGCACATGGATGCATGAGCACTCCTGAATTATGTTTCCCATTTTCCCTACACATATTAACTG